TTAAACATAACAGCCTAACAGTTAATGGTAACACTTTACACTAAGTTTTCGTTAGTTTTTTAACATGAACAAACATTTAACAATTCATTTATTCGAATATTTATTTATCCGTGTTAATGTTAGTTCATGTAAATAAATAAAGTTGTTCATTGTTAGTTCATGTTAACTCAGAGTGCGTAAACCAATGTTATTACACAGCTATCTGGTATACTCGATTCTGATTGGTCAGTCGCTCCATTCCGAGGTATGTTATTCAGAGAAATTCGAATTAGCTTTGATTGTCATTGAATACGTTCACTTCCATAAAGTTACATCAACATTTACATGTGTCTGCTTGTCTGTCATGCCACTGTTTTTGTCTGTTTAGCGCCATGTTGTGACTAATTAATGCACAAGTTAATGTATGCTCCATTCAGCTCCATGTAGCATTTTCGTTTCTACCAGCTTTGCTTTTAATTAAAGTTTAATGTATTTGTGGCAAGTAGCCATGTAATAAGCTGGATAAAGTACATATGTGACCATGACGACTTTATTATGCCATAACAACCTATTGGATGTACTTAATCCCTGATTTAACAAGCATGAATTTGAATTGAATGTTGAACTATGGTAAATAAATGCTGTACATTACAAATGTCCTTTTTAGTTCATGTTAGTAAATACATTAACTGTAATTAACTAAATAAACCATATTGTAAAGCGTGAAACAATCATTAATATAGTTAAATAGAGGATTGGTATGATGTATACTTTCTTATAAAATAATAACATCAGAATCACCTAGAAAGATAATGGGTACATTCATTTGTTGAAAAGGAAATCCTCATAATAAAGTCCAATTGAGAATGTAAACAAATTAGACTTTTTTTGTTGTTAGATTTGTCTTCATTTTTTGAACTGATGTTTTTGCAGGGATCCTCCAGGGTCTTCACATTGAGTTGAGTCCATCAGAGTTTGAGCAGCTTACTGTCAAATTTGACATAAAAAGCAACGGCCGCGTCTCTTATCCAGACTTCCTGCGGCACTTTGTGCTCATGTTCAGTCCTGAGGTCAATTCTTCATCCAACAGACTTAGATTGCAGCTGCCCACAACACCCGTGAGTTCACTGTCCTCTTTAGTAATTACACAGTATAAGCAGTGGTGGAAGTTTTTTCACTGTTATGCTAAAAGTGTTAGTTCACCCAAAATGATGGCATTCATGTCAATCCAATCCTCATTCATTCATGTTTGGAACACAAATTATGATTGATGTTTGAAATTAAATCCAGGAGCTCTTTCATCCTTCATATAATGTTTGTAACTTCCATGCAGTACCATGCAGAGACTTTCCAAGGGGCATGTGGGGATCACGAACTGAAGAGCTTCCTTTACTTTTTCGTTCCCCTTTCCCTTACTACAGACTGTACAACTTATTGCAAGCAGTCCTAAACAGTCTTAAATTGCTTTTTTTTGAGTGTAAATTAATACCTTAAAAAGGCAGCGATTCTTAAATTCATATGATCATGAAATATGAATTTTCATGAGAAATTGTTTACTTGTGTTTGATTTTAAAGTGAAGCGCAAGTCATTTCTGCAGTGAAGATCATCGTCATTGTTGGTCGCTTAAGTGTTCACGTCATTCTAGACCAGGGGTGGGCAAACTCGGTCCAGGAGGGCTGGTGTCCTGCACAGTGTAGCTCCAACTTAAATCTCACAAATTTGTTTATAGATTTCTAGTGATTTTGAAGACACTGATTAGCATGTTCAAGTGTGTTTGATTAGTGTTGCAGCTAAACTATGCAGGACACCAAGTTTGCCCACCCCTGTTCTTTACCATTCAAGGATTGTACCTCACAATAACAGATTTCTTTATATTCTTACATCTATGGGATGCACTGTGTACATAACATAATGATAATGTGTAGTCCTAATATGCATGTTTCAAGTATCTGTCTCCGATATACAAGATGTTATTCGTGACTTTTACGTTTGAATTCAGTGGTGTCATCTAGTGGAGGTGTGTGAGCTGTCCTAAGACTGCTGCAATTTTTAAATTGTATTTATTTAACATCACTTTGAGCCAGTTTTGCAACTATAAACATGTTTGATTTAAAAACTATTAGGAAACTATTATACAGCACGTTTTTTCACGCAGCGGATGCCCTTCCAGCTGCAACCCATCTCTGGGAAATTGAAGCAATAAAATGAAAATTTTATGATAGAAATGATAAAACAAAAAATTGAATATTTATATCAAGATGGTTAATGATATAACATATATATTTTATTTAGCTAAATAAAATGTCTAGGAAGCATATAATGAAGAGATTAACAGCATATAGATTTACAATGGGTCTGATCAGATAAAAGTTATTACCACACTCGAGTGTTTGAATCAGAGGCCTTAACATACCTTTGAAATAAATATACATAAAGTAAGTTAGATCAGTTTAAAATATTGCTGTAGATGAAAATACTTCATGTGCTCCCTAGAAATTATAGTTAATTGCAGGGTATATTTACCATGGAAAACAAATTTTCTTACTTTTTCTTTTTTTCTTAAGAAGGTCTTTAAAAGTCTTACATTTACCATCATAAAACTTTGTCATATTGCCCTTAGGAAATGTGCACCCTGATCTGAAAGAGTTTATTCGGCCCACGAATTATTTTTTTTAATCTTTATTTCTAAAGCGTTTTTTAGAATATAGATTGTATCAAAGCAGCTTAACATCGATAAAGCTATAGTAAATTGAAACTGCTTCAGTCCAGTTGTCACAACTGTTGTTTAGTTTAGTTTAGTTTAGTTTAGTTTAGTTTAGTCAAAGAGCTTAGAATGACCAAGAGGCAACACTCTAGTGTAATTAGTGTAGTGTAGTATAGTGTAAAGCCTAACCAGGGACGAGGGCTGCAAATTAGCTTTATGCTATATGCCCTATGTACACAACATCGGTTATCTTTGTATAACAATGTCAAGTGTATTGTCCCTGTAAAATAAACAAGCAAATAAAAAAATTTAAATTTGTGAAACATTTGGGAAATTTGGGGCGGGCATTTTTGAATGAAAACTCCAATAGAACAACAGCATATTAAAAGTCTGTTAAATAAACTATTAAAAATGCTGATGATTGTGATAGTAAGTGTTGTATTGTCGTCTTTCAGGTTGTATCTCAGCTTTAATGCACTTTTTAAATAAATTTATAAAAAACAAAGCAGCTGCTTGCCATCGCGACAGTAATGAGATCCAATGGACGGCCGATCACTTTCACTCTAAAATGGCGGAATCCGGGGCTGTTGCTGGGCGCTGCTGTTACAATGGAACGTTCTGTTGAGTGTCGCCTCTTGGTCATTCTAAGCTCTTTGGTTTAGTTCATTCATTCATTTTCTTTTCGGCTTAGTCCCTTTATTAATCCGGGGTCGCCACAGCAGAATGAACCGCCAACATATCCAGCATGTTTTTACGCAGCTGATGCCCTTCCAGCCGCAACCCATCTCTGAAAAACATCCACACACACTCATTCACACTCATACACTACAGACAATTTAGACTACCCAATTCAACGGTACTGCATGTCTTCAGACTGCGGGGGAAACCGAAGGGCCCGGAGGAAACTTAAGCAAATGCAGACCCACACAGAAACCCAGCCGAGGCTCGAATCAGTGACCTTCTTGCTGTGAGGCGACAGCACTACCTACTGCGCCACTGCGTCGTCTAGTTCAGTTCAGTTCAGTGGAATAAAAAAATAAAGTCTTTGGCCCACAAATGTATTCTTGGTGTGATCTATACACAAAAATGCTTGACACATAAAACAAATTGTATAGCAATACTAGCTCTAGTTTATTTGATTCTCTCTCAGATGAGTCCTGGTCCACTCAGCGCTCAGTGTGTTGAAGCCATGCTGAGGATCTCCAGGCCTGTCCAGCTCTTCTGGAGGCAGATGAGGCAAACGTTCCTCTCCTTTGACAAAGAGCGCACTGGAAAGATCTCGGTTCAGGATTTCCGAAAGGTACAGGCCTCTTCTTTCCCACTAATTTCAAAGTAATTGTTGAACAACAGCTCAAGATGTATTTAATCACGCATTTTGTTTTGCATGATATTTTTAGGTTCTGAGACAGTTCAGTGTGAATCTGTCAGAGGAAGAATTATTTCATTTCAAATCTTTTTTCGACAAGAACCTCTCAGGAAGGATTTCATACAATGACTTTCTGCGCATTTTTCTGAAATGAGTCCAGGTAGTGTTACACTCATAACACTGCTTTTGTCACAGTTTTGAAAATAAATAGATTTTTCTGATCCTTGAATTCTGTTGTGTTTATTTATACAGCAACACATTGATATTGATTACGATGTTGTTTATAAATAAACATAAATAAAATGTTTAATATTAAATGCTGAAATAAACTAAATAAAATTATATATGAAAAACATTTTTTTACCTTTGTTATTTTCATAATTATTGGGAAATAATAGTGCTTTTTGCTTTATTCCGATCATTGACTTGCAGACTGCAGGAGAATACAATATTAAAGCTTATTTAAAATTCAAATTTACCATATATATATCATTTTATTTAGATACATATGCATGTTTACTATTTATTATTAACTATTTTTAAGAAATCATGACTTTAAAGATGATTTACACTAAATGAACAACCAATTCTGAAGACCTAAAATTATGATCACACTTTGAAATGAGGTTCCGTTCAATTATTGTTGTATTTACTAACAAGATCTTGAAATAAACTATACTTGTACACCATTTATTAATCATAGTTCAACATTTACTGGTGCACTTTTAAAACCCAAATTTCTGTTACATCAGTTGATGTAAAGAGTTAACAAAAACTAAAAATGAATGACGTATTTTCATTGAGGAGCATTAGTAATAATCACATTGTTCATTGGCTTTTCATTTTAGCAAATACATGAACTAATGGAACTTTATTTGTAATACTCCCTTTCCTTCATCTTAGTCCCACTGTAGTCCCTCTGTGGAATGAACCAGCAATTACTCAAGACATCAGAATTATTGTATTTTAATAAACAAACAAATAAAGGATAATCATGTTTACAAAAAATGTAAATAAAAAAAAACTAATAAAAAAAAAAAAAACAGCACCAAGTAAGAGCATGTGGATAACTGCATAAATTATATCGGGATGTTCATGTTGTATCACGCGTACTTTATTTTACAGTATTAAAGGTGAAGAGGTGATCATGTACATTTTTTAAACAGTGATGTTGATGCTTCCTCATAAGGAACACAGAAAAACACATTTACAATCAGTGATTGTAACTTTGTCTTGCAGTGGCATTGTTAAAATTCCTAATATCATGGTGGACGCCCTCCAACATTTAAAAATATATCATGTCACATGTGGTACTAACAAAACAATGTTTAATCAGATTTTGCAATAAAGAATTTTAAACCTGCTTTTAAAAAACGGAGTAGTTGTACTTAAAAGTATTACTACGCAAAATACAGTCCACCCTAAAATGAAATAACCAATACAAATCAAGTATCAATCCCTGATATCACGATGAAATAAACCAGTGCTCAGAACCTCGTACACTAAACTTACTACTAAAAGTAAAGTCAATGACTCTAAAGCATTAAAGGAACACTCCACTTTTAAAAAAAAAAAAATAGGCTGAAGTTCCACTGAGTTAAACATTTGAGTTTTAACAATTTTTATTCCATTCAGCCAATCTCCAGGTCTGGCAGGAGCAATTTTAGCTTAGCTTAGCAAAAATCATTGAATCAAATTAGGCCATTAGCATCAATGTTAAATTACTATTATTAGGCGCTATGATATTATGCATTGCAGAAAATAGCATCCTGTCATTTGCTAGTGGTCTTAGCACATGATGTTACTACTAAAGAGCCAAGCTTTAAATAGGGAAATTATTAAAACTCATTTTTGTGCGAGATGCTAATAATCTAATCTAATTCAATGATCTATGCTAAGCTAAGCCAAATGTGGCCAGACCTGGACATCGGCTGAATTAATTAAAACAACTACAAAACTCAACAGTTTAACTCTTGTGAAGTTGTAAAATTGGCCTATTTTTTAAAAAGTAGAGGGTTCATTTAATGTAAAAGATAAATTTCAATTCCATAGAAACGCTAATTCCTAAAAGACCTAATGGAAATTCATTTGCAAAAAAAACGTCTCTCTTCTTTAAAACAGAGGCATTTGAGATTTCAAAGGCCTCTAAATACAGTTCAGAGGTACAGTTTCTGTAAAAGTGTAGCAGCCATTGGATTCTCCTTGTGCAAGTCGGGTCACCTTGCATGAGACTGATTCCTCCAAACGTTCCTGAAATTAAAATGTAACAGAGCGGCACACAGGAAGAAACCACCAACGCTCTTAAAGACTCCTGGGTTCGATTGTGAGAAGAAAGGAGGCACAGTATCTCTGGAAGTGCACCAGAAGGCTTCGTCTGAAGTCCCTCATGGTGTTTGGTCCTCATACACCCCAGTTTTGGGCTTGAGAGGAGCTGCCGATGTCTGGGATCTGATCAGCAAAAGACTGCGTCATCCACTGGCCGTCCTGAACCTGACCAACATCACTTGGCTTTGTGGGAGCCTTCTCGGCTGTGTTGGCTGGAGATTTAAACACAGAAATACATGTTAACTTTGGAATGAAGACAATGGGGACCAACGACATGGATTCATTAAGTTTGAGTAAATACAAATTTAAGACTTTGAATATGATTTAAACATTCTTCAAAACACAATCTGTTACACACAGGGTTCCCACTCCTCCATGGACACTAAAGTCACAGACTTTTTAAATCACAAATATTTGTAAAGCAGTGTGAATAGCATAAGTTCTTCCTGTACTTAAAAAAAATATTGAAAATGTCATAACATGTCATGTTTTAAAAACTTAAGGGAATTAGTTGACTTTAATACTGATATATTTAAATTTGGTTTCTGGAATGTTGATAGAATACATTATTTATCACAGTTCTTGTATAAGATTTAAAGATTTTTAAATGATGAATTTCTTCGTTTTTTTCATTCGGTTTTTGAAAGCAGCACAAAACAATTGTTAAATTAACACCGTAAACTCAAGCACTTTCAGGGACCTAAGTTTGTTTTTAAGCACTATCCAGGCCTTGACTTCATATCGGTACTTTGAAGAAGCGTGGGAACCCTGAACACAGAAGAAAGACCAACCATTCTCCTCAGATGCAGAGAAGTTACAAATCCCATTGCTTTGGCCTCCTTCAGGTGCAGCTTCTCCATAAGCTCCCCCAAAAGCGGCTTCATAACCAGGATCGTACTGCTCTTCCTTGACGGCAATCCTCTTGGCATCCTCTGAAAGACGAAGAGAAGATAAGGAGGTCAGTGCAGTCCGTATTTTACATTGGTTAAGAAAAGAAGGGTGATGATGCTTGTACCTTTGGCCAGGCCGAGGTCAAAGGTGTAGTTGACTTCCTCTACCTCCTTCTGTTTGATCACCCCCTTCAGCTGATCCCGCAGCTCCCGCAGCTTGATGTAGAAGTGCACTTTGTCCTGAGCTCGAGGAAACTGAGCACAGCGGGCACTGGAGGATGGCATCAGGTACAGTGCCTGTGGGGGGGGGAAAAGTAGTATTCATGTAAATCTGACAGAATTTTTTAAGTTCAAATAAAGTAATAGTTGCCATCATTTTTCTCCAGCTTATTAACTGGTTACAATAAGGCCAAATCCACACTAATGTTTTTGTTTATAAATATTTTTTTATCCCTCTTTTGGCCTTTTATCCACACTGAGTGTTTTACAGCAATAAAAACGTAAAAACACTCTCCAAAGTGGATCAAATTGAAAATGCTGTTTTTTTAATGTCGGCTTACAAAAAACTAATAAACAATGATTTTTTTTGTCATGTCATGTGACCAATTAAGCTAAAATGAGGGATGACTTTGTAGAGCAGTTATTCTGGACGCTCTCCGTTTTGACAACATTGTTAAAGATCAATATCAGTTTGTGCATGCTCCAGATAGCTTTGCTTTAAGGGACATGGAGCTGTACCTCAGATCTGTCGTTTTGGCATGTCTCTTATTTGTCTATATTTGTGCTTACACTTGCAAATTGATACTCCCGTGTTACTCACAGCAAAAACCTGACCTCACTTTTGGTCTATTTAAAAATGTTGGTACTTTTCCTCAACACTTTAAAAGCCAATAATTGTTTTAAAGTAAATAAATGTCTTAATCCATGTGCAGCACTGGGGCGAAAGTATTTTGAAGTTTTTCAGTATAGATGGCCAACTTTTAGGAAATGACTAAAACAATAATTTGGACATGGAGCGTTTTTAGAGGAAAACACCATTTTCAAATTTATCCAGATTAGTGTAGACGTATTCTAATGCTGTGCTTACACCAAATGTAAATATAAATCATTCATGTGACTACATTACATACAATTCAATGCCAATGTTTGAATAGTGGCAAACTACTGCCATAATAAACGTGCAGAACTAGCCTCAATGCATCTTCCATGCAAGTTAAACAAATTCATCTTGAGTGGAAGTTTCGATTTAGGCAAATTCTGCAGGTACACAACAAGCACATTATAAATTTCAGAATATTCGCTACGTTTTCACTGAATGTGTATACAATTTGCTTAAGTGAATCCTTATGAGGTAAAAAAAAAACATACTTTGAGTAATCTAGAGCAAGTGACATGATCTTTATATTAGTGTGAACAAGGCACAAGAATTGCGAAACTTATTACAATTTGTTTTTTAATATTATGTTTAAATATGCAAATGAGAAGTCAATTGAATGTGCTCATCTGAATCCATTCTAGCATCTGAACATTGGATGAAATCAGCTTCAATCAATCAAAAAAATTTTCCCCTTCATATTTACACACTGCGAACATTTTAGCTAAATAAATTGTCTCTAATTAGGCAAAATTCATATGAACAAATCCCCATGTAAAAATATATATATATATAAATTATATGAATGAAATTATGATGTTCAGGGTGCTTTCACACTTGGTTTAATTGCCTGGACCATATCTGCCACCTTATCGGTTGGTAAATGTTCACACCGCCTTTTTCCTTTTGAACCCCAGGAACGCTAGCGTCAACGAGCTGCTGATTTGTGTATGGCTGTTGCTAGGTGACAGACACAAAAGCAAAGCGCCAAATAGAAAGACGTGCCCATCACTGTCGTTCTGCTTTTACTGAATCTTTTGATTTTGGACACTCGCATCCATCTGCCGCAAAAATATTACAAACGTTCAGAACATTACAGTGTCTGCAGAAGCTGTTTTTAGAGGGGACAAGCAGACATTATCACTGTGTTTGCCCTGGCTCAGTCCCACTTGTCACCATGCACGCACGCACGCATGCACACACACACACACACACACGTTATGAAAATGATAGTTTGTTGTACTGCTGGTTGTTCACTTCCGTTATTTATACTATTGCATTCATGGTTGTGCACCTGAGTTCAGAAGACATATTCACACAAGCTAAATGTACCAAACTGTGATGTCAAACAAACCCAGGTGCGGACCAAAAGTGCTAGTGTGAATGTACTCTTAGTGTATTCAAGAGAAAGCTGACTTTAAAACTGTAAAAATTGTAGCTGAAATCTAGACACAAATTTAATAAATTGTGACAAAAGAAACACTTTTATTGGATGCTTTCTTCCTATTACGCTGAAAAAAAGCAAAAAAACTTTAAAAAGCAAAAAATAAAATAAAAAATCCCTCAATAAATGAGAACCAATGAAAATGTCTCTTACCGTGTCAGAGTCTGGAATTTTGTGAGGCTGTAGGCCAAATTCAAGTGTTTTGGGCTTTTTCCCAAATAGCTCCCTACAGAACATTTCATAAATACCTGAAAAAAATAAGAAGTATTCATTAAGTTCAGGTCTTTGCATAAGTGGCAACTATCTATTCATCTGTAGCTGTGATCAAACACTTACATTTGCCATTAAAAACCGCTATGAGTGGCTTGAACTGTTTGATTTTCTCCACTAAGATTTTACCGCCTTCTCGAAGCTCCTTGCTGCAGAATTTAAAAAAAGCAGAAACAGTTTAGAGAAATACCAGCACTTACACTTATCAAGGAAAGCAACACGATTATTTAAATCCTACCTAGAGAGGTCTTTGCTTCCTGGCGTTGCTCTCGCTACCATATTTGTGAAGCCGATGCCGTATTTCTCCGGCAAACTCTGATCATCCATGTGATTCAGCAGCTTCTCAGTGAATCCGGACAAGAACAGACACTTCCCTGAAGATGATAATGATTCATGCATTATTAATTTAAGTCAATTTAATTCAAATTAATTATTAGAAATTAATTGTACATTATTATTTTTGAATTAAATTATTTTTACAAGTACTTATTCATATTACATATGAGTACTGTAACTATATAAAATATTCTTTAACATATTTTTTAATTGCACTTTTGACAAATGTGCATGATTAAATTTAATAATTCAATACTTAAATGTTTACATTTTATTAATAATAACATATTAATATTAACTCAATATTACCACGTTTTTCTTAAAGCGTAATATAAATATAATTAACAGAATTACAGATTAGTAAATAAATGTAAATGCTTATTATATTTAAATATATTTATAGTGTTGGACACATTCCTTTAATTAGTATCTATTTACATCTCACAAATAGTAACTAAGCTACATAATTATATTAGTTAGTAACTAATTACCAGGAAAAGTAACTATTGCATATCTTAAAAAACAAAATACAAAACAGTGTACACTAATCTAACTTACTCAATCTAAGCCAATCATCAGTTCTCGTTCTCAGTTAAACTATGTTCACAGACACAGTAATCATCATCACTGGTCAGTTATGTGTCCCGCCTACAGTAATTAATTTGTCAATTTATTGCATTATCGACATTTGTTATCACTGTTTATTTATAGTGCCGCCATCCCTTAACAGTGCAAGGAAATTTTTACAGTATGTCTGATAATATTTTTTCTTCTGGAGAAAGTCTTGTTTTATTTCGGCTAAAATAAAAGCAGTTTTAAATTTTTTAAAAAACATCATATGGTCAAAATTATTAGGCCCTTTAAGCTTATTTTTTCCCGATAGTCTACAGAACAAACCATCATTATACAATATTTGCCTAATTACCCTAACCTGCCTTAGGGTAAAGTTAAGCCTTTAAATGTCACTTTAAGCTGTATAGAAGTGTCTAAAAAAATCTAGTCAAATATTATTTATTGTCATCATGGCAAAGATAAAATAAATCAGTTATTAGAGATGAGTTGTTAAAACGATTATGCTTATTATGTTGTTAAACAGAAATTGGGGGAAAAAAAATAAACAGGGAGGCTAATAATTCTGACTTTAACTGTGTGTGCGTGTGTATGCATGTATGTTGATATATATATATATGTATGTATGTGTGTGTGTGTGTGTGTGTATATATATAGTTAAATATAAGTATATAAATAAATTATTATAATAAAAGAATTTCAGATGTTTAGCACTTTGTTTTTAAAATCAGCATATGAATGTAAATGAATAAAATATTTAGTATACAATTTTATTTAGACTTTTAATTGTTAAATTAACAGTAATATTATTGTGATAATATAAGAATTTAAAATATCTTTTTACATTATATGAAAAATTGTAAAACATTATGGTTTTGTTGCTGTTTATTATAATATTAAACAATTTATATATATATATATATATATATATATATATAAAATTCTTAGAATAACTGATATTTATTTTTGATTCAATTATTAATAATTAGTTACATTTATGAACATAATCATTTTAGCTTTTCATACTCTAAGGTCATATATTATTGTATTTCTATCATCATATCAACATCAATTAACCATAACATCTATATATCCACAGAACATATCATCCTTTTTCTTTTAGAACTATAAATAAAATGCATAACATAAAACCTACTTCTATTTCAATTCAATAACTTTATTATTATTATCAATGACAATATACTAATATTACAAGTGTATTGAAGCCAACAGTACTTACAAAAGTGATTTCCCGGTCCAGGAAACCATCTACCGATGTAAGCCGCCATCAACCCGGGATTAATTCCAATCTGTGTCATAAAAATAAGCTTCATTTTAGTCAATTGCATTAAATTTTTAACATACCTCGTTGTTAAAAAAGGCTGCTTCACATAAACGCTACAAAAACATACAATGACGTAGTCCAGGTTGGGGATTAGGATATCAGGAAGTGTTCTCTTCATCACTTCCTCCTCTGACATGCCCTTGAAGCGGTCCACTTTCCTCTTGACTTTCTTGAAGGTTTCATCGATCTTCTCCTGTCCTTCAGCCGGCGGAGCCTCTTTATCCTCCTTGGCTTTCTTGGGTTTAGGTCCGGGTTTGGCTCTAGGTTTTGGTTCGCCTTTGGGTTTGGGCTCTTTGTTCGTCTGTCTTGCCCGTTTTCCTTTAGCAGGTGCTTATGGAGGGAAACAAAACACTTTTATTCACTGAAAAAAACCTACAGCACACAATGAGTCGGCGTAAAATTGTGTAATTCTAGGTGTGTATTAATTTGCACCTTAATAAAAGATGGCTTGGTACATTTTTGGTACAACGCAAGGAAAAACTAAACATCAATTTTTTTCTTTTTTCTGTTTTTTTAAGACGAGACACTTTTTTCCACGCAAGTCAATGTTGGTGGTCTTATTTTCAATCTTATGGAAAAAAAAAGATAAAAATACACTTTCAATTGTTTCTTTTATGACACTTTATCAATTTGTGCTATTAATACATATTTTGAAGGCTATTTTCATAAAAAATAGTCTTTCAGTAAAAACCTTTGACTGTAAGTAAAGAATTTTGAACCTGACTTCAACCAATGCTCAGATTTTTGCGCTAGAAATGTATGAAAATTAGCCTAATTAAATAGAAAAATGGCTCATTTGCATAATTAAACAAAGTTGTTTATGTATAAGTTGTACATGTTTGTAATTATATGCAAATATGTTAATTACATAAAGCAGTTTTTAATGTATTACTAATGTTAGATTTTAACCTAATGTTTAAATATAATTACAAAATGTAGTTTACATAGCAATTTATATACCTGTATATAAGTATAATAAATTTACACAGTGGCTTTTATAGCATTTAAATGCTTTAATTAAAGCGTTTGCATTGAATAATTAAGATATGTAAACGATAGGGGAATGCACAAACATTCAGCCGCTGGAAATTATCAACCGAAAATGACATTTTAAGTTTTGGGCCAAAAGAGAAAAAAGCCCGAAAATATAAGCTGGAAAAATTTGATTGATCATAAACTGAATCAATATTGATGTTAAAATAGACGTTCTTGATTAAGTTCTGCACATTGAGTGGATGAAACCAGTGTATTGGTCCTGTATACAAGCATACTTGACATTAGAGATCTGAATATGTAAAGCGTCACAGCCCTTCTTTGTTTACCTGTCTGCGCAGCGGCAGGCTGGAGCTGAGCGGCGTCCTCTGGATGTACAGGCATCTGCTGCATGCCTGCGTCTTCTCTCTGTCCCTCCATCATAAAGCCTGCGCTGCCATTGGCCATGTGAGGATACTGAGCCTGAAGCGTCTGCAGATGCTGCTGAGCCGACTGAACCCTGATTCACAAATAAAACACAGGCCAGTTCACCAAAATCTCACAAGTTTGTCAGAACTTCCTGTGCAGTTCTTGAATTGGTTATTAAAGAGCAGATTATTTGGGTTTTAATGCAGTTTTTAAAATCAACAAACTGCATAATAAATATACTTTTATTGATACTTTTATTTTGCTCAAAAATTGAGAAACAATATTGAATATTTTGCCTGCTACCAATCCACATCAACATGATCAAAAGGAACAAATGTGCATACACTGACGAAAATGCTTTTCTTAATAAGATTTTTTTCTGTTGTTACTAGTCTAAATATCTAAAATTTCTTAAATCAAGAAGGAATTTTCTAGACAAGCAAAACACATTGTCTTGTTTTAAGAAATAATAAAGTGGGTTCTTCCTTAAAACAAGCAATATAATCTGAGTAAGGAAAGCATTTTTTGCAGTGTAATACCCATCTACCCAACACATGGGTGTTTTGTTTCCGATATGTAAAGACCAGTCAAAACAGACTTGATCAGATGACCAGCCTTGGCCAGTTGATCAATGAGAGTAGGTTGGCTTGTGGAAGGGAATGGCTTACAGACCTTAAAGGGATTGTTCACCCAAACATGATAAAGTTCCTGTTAATTTTATCACCCACAAGTCATCCAAGATGTAGGTGACTTTTTTTTCTACAGTAAAAGATTTTTAGCTGAATTCATGGTCTTTGGGGATTCATAAAATGGCAGTGAATGCTGGTAGGTTGCTAAGATAAAAAATAAGTGCCTACAAACAAGTCCAAACCCATATCCACGGCTCCTGATGACACGCTGAGGTCATGTGAAGTGAAAAGATCAATCCGTTTAGGAAACTGAACATTATTTACAATATGAATAATCAGGATGTACAATATATAGGGTAAAAAATTACCAGCTACATCTTGGACGACCTGTGGGTAAATTAACAAGACATGTTTATTTTTGGGTGAACTATGCCTTTAAGCAGTGAATTGATTGAAATGAATGAATTGAAATGGGTCTAATATTACATATATATTCTGATAAACATTTCTGACATTATATGTATATAAACCTGTTGTAGAGGAATCAATCCAACACAATATTAGGACAGTTTGAAACACCATATGACCTGCTCTTTAAAGCAGTGTTTCTCAACCATGTTCCTGCAGGACCTTCAGCTCTGCAAATTTTCCATGTCTCCTTAACCAAGCACACATAATTCAGGCTGCATCCGAAACCGCCAACTACTCAGTATGTACTGTATTTGAATTTAAACGTACTACTCAGCTGTTAGAAAAGTATGTTCTATACAATATGAATGTGAGAGTATGAATGGAATTCGGACGTACGCCATCAATCATTTTGTCATGATTACATGACCTACCTGCGCCAGTTGCATTGCTTCACTCCCAGTCATGACTTCTCTCGCGGGGCATCATGGGATAGCACAGCATGCATGGGATGCGCACTTCAGAATCTCGCCGGAAGTAGTAAGTCTTCCGGGTACTACTCGCATACTGATTTTCGAATTCTATGAATTCAGACATACTACTCGGCTTGCATGCTGAATTTAGTGTACTTTATTGTATGAAAGCTTTCGGTTTCGGACGCAGCATCAGATCATCAGCTCATTAGCAGAGACTGAAGGATCTGTAGTGGGGGTAACAGGCAAAGGTGACATCCAAAATATGCAGTGTTGGTAGTTCTCCAGAAACGTGGTTGAGAAACACTCCATTAAAGAAATAGTTCACCTAAAAACATAAATTCTGACATCATTTACTCACCCTTCAGTTTCTTTTTCAAAAAAAGCAGAAAAGCTGTTACCATTGAATTGTATAGTATTTGTTTTTCCTACTATAGATGTCAGTGGTTACCAGCTTTCTTTGAAATATCTTATTTTTGTGTTCAACAGAAGAAAGAAATAAAAGATTCAAAACCACTTGAGGTTGAGTAAATGAATAGTGAATACATTTGCATTTTTAGGAGAACTATCCTTTTAAGTAGACACAGACAATGACATTTTTGGCATTATTAAATTGAAACAGTTGTTAACTGGATGAAAAACTGTAATGAGCATGCAGACGTTTTTATCATGGGTGAGTGTTTTGCTTTGGTGAAAATCTTGGAATATCTTTTGTATTCTTCTTTGCATTAAAACATCACACACTGTGAAAAACTATTATAAGATGTAGTTAATAGTGATTAGTCAAATGTGTGCTTTGTATGACCGTGTTTATATTTGCAGACAACTGCAATTTACAAGTAAAAACAAGCTCTCTATCAGACCATATACAAAACTGTCAAATTCAGTCAAATTCAGCAAACCAAACGGTTTTTCCTTTACATTATAATTAGTAAACAGTTCAATATATTTGACATGTTATGTCGTGTTATGTTAATGTTTAATTACAAAATTTCATGTGAAAAACCCAGTGAATTACTGATAAATTACAGCATTTATGTCTTCAAATAATAACACCCAACACTGCATTTAACGTCAAACAATGATGTTTGTTTACAGTTCAATTGTGAATTGTAGAAAATATCAATTGTATGATTACATATTCACTCAACAATTAAGAAATACATAACATTTACCAAATAACACAAAACAGACAAGAACAGATCTGCAACCATTTATACTGCAAATCACTGTATACAAATGACAGGACAATATCAATATCTGATAATATTGATTGTTAACACCATACATTACAAATATTACTTGTATTTAAAAGGCAACAACAATAAATAAATTAAAATAGAAAAAAAAGATATAGTTTTAAACATTTGAAATAAATGTACATTTAATTAAATATAGTTAATTATTAGATCATGATATATGTTAATTTATCAAAAACAAAATATTAAAATTAAACATTTTGTTATAGCTTAATACATAGAAATATCACTTTACATATCAGATGTATTTATAATTATAATTTACAAGACATTTTTTATATTTTAAGAAATTAATTACAACCATTTAGATTGCAATCCTCTGCATAAAATAAAATTACATAATAATAACAACAATAACAATAGCTAGTTAATTTAAATAAATTATATATATATATATATATATATATATATATATATATATATATATATATATATATATATATATATATATATATAATTGATAACTATAAATGGAATGTTTAATAACGTACACACAGGGTTCATACACATTTTTACTACTACAATTCCATGACTTTTCCATGATTTTTACAAGACTTTCAAGTAAATTTTCATGACCTAATGTTTCATGCAATGTCTACATATGCATGGTAAAAGAAAAACAATGCATGTTTAATATTATTACAGCATATCGCAAAATATGCAACAATCTATTTAGTTCAATTCATGTGATGGTAAAATTAATTTAGATAATGCTCACACTGCTCTAATAATTTGAGAGTACGTGATTGGGCAAGGACAGAATAGAAGTATATAACCTATATGCAAGTATTCAGATATCTGTTTTCCAAAACTTTTCCAGACCTGGAAAATGTCAAAATTTCATGACTTTTCCAGGTTTTCTATGACCGTATGAACCCTGTATACAATTAAAAGACAAAAAATAAAATGCATTATGTAAAAGACCATATGAATAGTCAATAATTGTATAAGTTCTCTACTGTGAAGCAGGTGCAACTTTTGAAAATTGATAAAGCAATCAAATAAATAAACACACACATATATACATACATACGTTATTAATGAATCTTGCAACAGAATATCCATGTTAATAATTGCAAAGCACATCACTTTTTAAAACAAACACAAGTAGCAACACCAGGGCAGTTTTTTTTTTTTTGCTAAATTTAATATCAGCTGTGTAGCTTTGTAAATTTCATTTGGTGAATGGCAATACAGACTGGTTAGTAGCACTTAAAATCAGCCTGAATAGCTGAATGTTATAATAAAATCAGTGGGATCGCAATTAATCTTGGCGCCAGTTGATGACAAACAGGGGGGACACTCACCATTGTTGGAGGTATTCCGAGGGGGCATGAGGCAAAGATCCATACAGCCTTTCATCCATCTTAAATACATTAATATTTGTGTTCATTTCAACAGCAATTTCAGTGGTATTCTCACAGGGGAACATTTAAAACCAGCCATTTTTATTAGCTTGCTTACAGAATGCTTTAACGAATAGGTTCAGTCATATTAATCACTAAAAGGTAAAACTGGTAAGAATAATTAAAACATCCAGTTTAGTCTATAAATGTATTAGATAACTTAGATCAGAAAATGCTCAGTGAGCTGGGTTTTAAACAAACTCCACGTATGCAGGATCCAGAACATATTAAAGCACGATTTAAAAACAGTCTGTCTTTTAAACTTGCGGTAAACTCAAATAAATTGGCTGTCACATGTTAGTACAACAAGAAAAATTAAGGCAAAAAAGCGTGAATTAAATAATGTATGTAATAGAGTTAGCATGTTCGGCTAACACTGGCCTAGAGTGCCAATTCATTGAGTACAATGAATGCTAGTCGCAGCTAACGGCGAAGCGCGTTTCAATCGTCATTAAATGCATTCCCGTGCGGCTAGTAATCAGATTATGATTTTATGGATTAAATTAATACATACCGTTGTTATACGATAAGAACGAGTGTCCACTGAAATGTTGATTATTTTTCTCGTTTTTAGGAACAAAACCGGCGATAGCAACAAAGACCGACAGCGAGAAATCAATTTGACAGAGGAACGAACCAAAGCGCCTAGATTAGGGGTGTGTTGAACACAGTATGTCTGCTTTTTAGCTTTGATGCAAATAAGTGAACCCAAAATAGATAATATAATCAATAAGATGTGTGTTATAAATGTAAACACTGAAATCACATTCAAATACAGTGTTTTAGCGTTACTTCAGTTTGATAATGTTAACGTTCACCCCTCTAAAGTTAATAGTATGACCTCAGTCTCCTGTGACATTTAAACGTTTCAAAGCGAGGTGCCTATTGGCTGCGCTTGAATAAATAAAAAAGCCCCTTTTCCGAGTTTAGCAAATATAAAGTCTCTTCGTGTAAACGCATTTATATATATATATTTAATGTCGTCTTACATAAATAAATCAAGCTTAAATTAAAGAATTATTAATATATCTAAAATAAGAGTTAAATTATATATTAATAGTGTAGTCATAACGTTATAATGTCGTAAATATAGGGACACGTGCAACTGTAAATACTGTAAACTGTAAATAAGAACATTTTTCTCCATCGTTTATCCAACACTAATTATCACAGCTTTTATTTTAGATGAATGAGAAATGTTTGATTTCACGCTTTCATCATATTTGCTTTTATTCAGCCCTATAACCATATCATTAGTAACACTTGCATATAAAAAATAAAATACAACTTACAGAATGTCATACATAGTACAGACTTTTCACAGCAACAATGTGGCCAGATTATTACAATGTAACAAAACAAGTATATAAATGGTACTTAACAAATATGCACACTGATATAACAAATAACAAAACACAACTCTAAAAAGTCTAAAAACACCGTTCAGAATGAGGTAAACAGAGTGATTGGTATCCAAAAAGCACCATCATGTGGTACTGAACATGCCGTCTGCAATACTACTATATCCATGCAATGAGGACATGCACAGTGATAAACCTCTTCCAGAGTCCAGCAGTGGTTTGCATTAGGATTTTTTATTTTTTTGCACTGAAATTCTCAAATATGAGGTCTTCTCTAAATAATCCCAATAACAAAGGAGCAATAAAAAAAAAAAAAACTTTCAAAATTTTGGGGCTGGTAATATTTTTAAAAGAAGTCAGTTATACTTAACAAGGCTGCATTTATTTGATAAAACAAAATAAAACAAAATAATAACTTTTTTAAGCATCACTTTTTCAGTCTTCATGGTCACATGATCCTCAATTTAATGCTCAGGAAACATTTCTTATTATCTTCGTTGATTACAGATGTGTCCTTTTGACTGTCTTTCAGAATTTGCTTTGATGAATTAAAGTGGATGAAGTAAAAGTTGAACCTTTTGTAACATTAAAAATCACTTTTCCTCTAATTAAATAGTTAGTTTCCCCCGAAATGAAATTAGCCCATGATTTACTCACCCTTAAAGCATCCTGAATGGCTTTTTTGGCAGTTTTTACTTCTATAGTCCAAAAACAAAAAAAAAAGTACAACCAAGCCTATGTATCTCACAGGGCACCAGGGGGTGAATAAAGATCTCCTGTAGCGAATCAATGCAGTTTTGTTAAATAAAATTCCATATTTAAATCTTTAATAACAGTTTGTGTAACTTCTAAGTGAAGTTGACTTTGTCTTCTTCTTTACAAATATTGTTTTAGTACATTTAGCGATACCAAAACGACAGGAGTATAAAGCCGTTATGACAAATAAAGCAAGTAGAAAAGTACAAAACAAGGATTTATAAGAAAAACTTTCAAAAAAGCCAAGAGAAGTCTGTTTAATTTTTTTTTTTGGTTGGCTTTGTTTTGGTTATCTTTCTTTACTGTGTTTCTATGTTTGTCCTAACAGTGCATGTGCTACTCAGCCTCCTGTACAGCTAGTGGCACTTAACATTCATTCATTCATTCGTTCGTTCGTTTTCTTTTCGGCTTAGTCCCTTTGTTAATCTGGGGTCGCCACAGCGGAATGAACCGCCAAACTTATCCAGCACATGTTTTTCACAGCAGATGCTCTTCCAGCTGCAACCATACACTCTCAATCACACACATACACTACGGCCAATTTGTCTTATTTAATTCATCTATACCGCATGTCTTTGGACTGTGGGGGAAACCGGAGCACCCGGAGGAAACCCACGCCAACACAGGGAGAACATGCAAGCTCAATACAGAAATGCCAACTGACCCAGCTGAAGATGAACCAGCAAAAAAAAAAAAGTTATTTATTATATTATTATTTAATAATGATTTAATATCACAATATTATTATTTTAAAACTGGAGGTGGCAGCGACTAAATGGAAAGTTAGTGTGCTTATGTCATTCGAACACATTTAAACTATTTCCTCTACCAGTCAGGTGAAAATGAGACTTCGGATTTCATAAATGACATCATTTCTCCAAAACGATACAAGCCTTGATACGGCTCCTCGAAAGCTTCTGGGTTTTCTCAAAACACACTCCAAAGCCTCGGGACAAAGTGTAAAATCATTAGAAATCACACAAAATGCTTTATAAAGTTTTACATTTGGATATTTTCTTACAAAACCCCATGGATTCACTACAGGAGAACGTTTCGTTCATGCATGGAAGACATTGTCTTTTTGCAAGAACTACCCATTTAATGCATACAGCTGAAGTCAGAATTATTAGCCCCCCTGTTTATTTTTTGGCCCCAATTTCTGTTTAACGTAGAGAAGATTTTTTTCAACACATTTCTAAACATAATAGTTTTAATAACTCAGTTCTAATAACTGATTTATTTTATTTTTGCCATAATGACAGAAAAAAATATTTTACTAGATATTTTTCAAGAAACTTCTATACAACTTAAAGTGACATTTAAAGGCTTAAAAAGGTTAATTAAGTTAACTAGGCAGGTTAGGGTAATTAGGCAAGTTATTGTATAATGATGGTTTGTTCTGTAGACTATCGAAAAAATAGCTTAAGGGGGCTTATAATCTTGTCCTTAAAATGGTGTTAAAAAATTTTAAAACTGGTTTTATACCATCCGAAATAAAAAAATAAGACTTTCTCCAGAAGAAAAAATATTATCAGACATACTGTGAAAATTGCCTTGCTCTAGTAAACATAAGTTAGGAAATATGTTAAAAGAAAAAAAAAATTAAAGGGAGGCTAACAATTCTGACTTCAACTGTACTTCAATAAAATTTATTTTTTAAATAAAATATTACAATACCCCCAAAGTTTTGAACGATGTAATTGAAGTTTCCTTAAAAAATAAATAAAAAATAGAGGCACAAAATGAACATGTCTTAATCAGAAATGTTCACTCAAGTAACAAAGTTATGTTACACACACTGAAATCACACACATTAAATAATGTAACACCTCGTAACGTATTAAAATATAAAATAAAAACAGTACAAAAAAATGTTTTGTTGGTCCTTCTCTGTATATGCAGTGTAGACAACAGTCTTTGTGCATCAACTTTTTTTTCTTAGCTTGTTCGGGTGTTGTTGCTACATCTGATGTCTGGAATCTGCTCTGCAAATGGCTGCATTGTCCACCGGTCATCCATTACCTGGTCTAAAGATTTCCAGCATCATTATAAGCACCCAATAATTAAAATTTTTATATTACTATTGTAAACAATATTTACAGAGCTAATTTTGCAAATACAGCCCTGATATACTTGTTACTGTAAAACAGCTTCAATTTTCAGTTTCAGACAAAAGTTGTATATTCCTCTCTCCAGTAGTCTTAGAAAAAAACATACAGTTTATGACTAAAACAATAAACTTAGAAATAAACCAACTAGGCACAATCATAAAGCTTTCAATGTTAAACTCCTCACTGTAGAACCATTACAGATGTAAAGTAGGGTAGGAATAGGCTTTGTTTGTTCTAGCATCTTTTTTTTATTCTCCTCTTTGCATCCTTGTTCTGATTTTGCTTTAATTGACTATACTGGCAATTATTCACAGTTGTGTACATTTGGTGATATATTTTAGGCTATTGTTTAATAATTACAATTTTAAAATGCAAAAGAAAATGATAGATGCTTTTAAAATTAAACTAAATCGACTTTACGACATGAATTACTATAGCATGACAAGATTGGAGTGATGAATTGCGGAGCTCAAGCAAATTTATCCGTACCACTGTCATTGTTCTCTTCTGTTTATTTTGTTGTGGAGAGAAAATCATGCAGCGATGAACACTTTTGCCTTGAGCTGGTTAGAATACTTATGAATTGTAATCATTTACAGATTATAAATAACAAGACAACATTTGTAATCAGTAATATGTTCTCTTAGATTACATATTCATTGTGAAGTAGTCAGATTACTTTTGGATTACATTTAGATTTGATGTCACTAATATTCAAGTAGGATAATCGTGTACTATTCTGACAGATGCAAAATAACAATATATTCCATTCTTTATGACGGACTAAACAGCTTCTTTTTAAAATGCACAATGTACTTCAAAATACTATCACTAATATACCTTGATGATATTGTTTGCTTAAAGTAACACTGAATAAAACAGAATCACAGTTTATTTTAACCTCCTAGGGCTTAGTGGCCACATGCTTGTACAGCACATTTTAGCTCTTAAGTGGCTATTTAAAATACTTTGAATGTTTTACATTTTGTTAGAGACATACAGTAGCATACTGCAACTGTTTTGCAGCATATGAAATGTCCCAAACTCTATTTTTAACTGTCCAAAATGGGATTTTTTTTTTGTTTTTACTCTCTTATAGTCAAAACATGTTCAAAATAAATTTCTATGTAAAATATGCATAAAAAAAACAGTCAGTAAAAAGTGTTTTATGTCAATTCAGACCACAAGTCCACATATATGGACATCATTGTTTTCTAGAAGTACATTACATCAAAAGATGATACTTAGGTTTTTATTCTAATTATGTTCCAATAAGCTAAAAACAAATCATGTAAAAACACCTTGAGCCTTAAGAGGTTAAAATTATGTACATATAAAAAATGTCGCTAATTTTTGTGGCAGAATCTCCACGATTTCACACCCCTCCCCCTCTCTACCAAAAAATATTATTATTATTAAGAACAAATATCAACGTAAAAAAGAGAAAAATCAAGAGATTAAATAAACATGACTTGTAATCCATAAAAAGTAACTGTAGACCGATTACGATTGTTTTAAAAAGTAATCTAATTACAAGTACTTGATTTTTGCAATCTGATTATGTAATCAAGATTACATATAATCAGTTTAATGCTCACGAGTATATCAGGGCCTCCAGGAGCACACCATCAAACGTTAATTGATGTACCTGTATTTGTAGAAGGATGGACTCCAAACGCTTGCTGTGGTTCCCCCCACGACCCATGAGCACAGGTCTCCTCGTACCCAGGGTCATTCTGCTCTTCTTTGATTGCCATTCTTTTGGCATCCTCTAAAATAAACAATGAAAATAAATTTCGTTAGCACATTAATAAAAAAAAAAACTGTTTCAAATAGCAAAACTGAAGCTGTTTTAACCTTTGGCCAGATTCAGATCGAAGCTGTAGTTTGTCTCCTGGATCTCCTGAGTCTTGGTCACTCCCTTCAGCTGATCCCTGAGCTCTTTTAGCTTGATGTAGAAGTGCACTTTGTCCTGAGCACGAGGAAACTGGGCACAGCGCGGGCTTGAGGATGGCATCAGATAGCAAACCTGGACAACAACGTAACTAGTTAAAATGCAACTAAAAAATAAACAAGCGAGTGCTTTTATAATAGAAACTCGTACCGTCTCCGTTTCTGGGACTTTGTACGGCTGCAATCCGAACTCTAAGTTCTTGGCCTTGACTCCAAAAATCTCCTTGCAAAATATTTCATAAATACCTGAAATATTTAGGAACAAGTTACAAGATAGATAAGGAAGTTTAGACTTAAAATCAATAAGCGTACAAATGTGAACACTTGTGGCAGATTTTGTTGACATCAGTTTCTTTTATTTTGTCACACTCTACTAGGGATGTACAATATAGAAAGAGAAATATGCAATGTGATGGCATGCAAAAATAATGCAATATATTTGATATGTAATACGATATTTAATATTTTAAAAGATGTGCTATAAACTCTTTCAGAGGTTGTGCTAATGGCAGGTACACATACTTTTGTGTTGCAAAACACTGCAATATGTTTATCACGATATGAACGTTTGCAATATTTTGATATATTGTGCAGCTCTCCCCACTACAACCCAATACTTTTATCTAAGCGTTTAGTTTAACCCCAGAGTACTACTTAACGGAACGAACCCATGCTACGTGGCTTTTGAGTGAGCAGGAAAGCAAATGAGTGAAAATTATGTGGATGGCATCACAATTTTTAATCAATGATAGTTTTGGTACAATACAGCAAAGTATAAATATCTTGTTTTGTTACACTTTCAGACAAAACATTCCAATAGTCCATCATTTACTCACCCTCCACTTGTTCCAAACCTGTTTGAGTTTATTTCTTCTGCTGAACACAGAGGAAGATATACTGATGAATGTTGGATGGAAAAAACAACCATTACTTCCATAGTACCTTTTGTTCCCATTTAGGATGACAATGGCTCGTTTTTCCCCCAACATTCTACAGAATATCTTGTTTGTTGTCCAACGGATGAAAAAAAAAAATCAAATAAGTTTAGAACTACTACTGTACTTGAGATACTATTTGAGGAAATTTTTGAGTTTTTGGTGAAGTACCCTTTTAAAGAAATCTGATCAAATGTGTTTGGACTACCTCTGGAAGCTCAGACCAGCTCAAACCATTTCGACAAGCTCAAACCCTTTCAGATGCCGTTTACTCACATATTTTGCATTGTTATCAAAATACCAGGCATAAACAGGAGCAAAGACTTACATTTTCCATTGAACACAGCAATTAAAGGTCTGTATGTCTGGAGCTTTTCCAAAAGCTGGTGGCCTCCTTCACGGATCTCTTTGCTGCAAAAAAATGTAACGTAGTCAACACCAAGCATCTTAGGTCTTAAAATCTCATTTTAGGATACTGTCACATTATCACCGGTGCAGACTGGTGTAAACTGCCAGCTCTCACAGATTTCTGCCGGTCTACATGGTGATTCTGTTAGACCAACTTTAGCTAACTTCGAGGTCTGGATTGAAACTTCTTTCACTCTAATGCAAAATTCCTAAAGCTGAAACCTTACTTTGAAAGGTCTTTACTCCCAGGGGTGGTCCTCTCCACCATATTGGTGAAACCAATGCCGTAGTGTTCAGGTAGTGTCTGATCATGCATGTGGTTGAGCTGTTCATTAGTCAGACCAGAGAGAAACAAGCACTTCCCTATGAGACAGTCAGTAGATGATCAAAGACAAGAATAAACTTCTTTTATGACAAATTAAATCAACTAATTATACATACAAAAATGGTTCCCAGGATTTGGATAATGCCTTCCCTTATAGGCTGACAACAGTCCAGGGTTGATGCCAATCTATTAAAAGAAACAATATTAGTACAATAAAAAACTGTTTGCTATGTTATGTATCAAATCAATCAACTATAAAACTTAAAAAAACTATATATATATATATATATATATATATATATATATATATATATATATATATATATATATATATATATATATATATATATATATATATATATATATATATACTCTAAATGCTAACTTGCATTACTATATAATTTATCATCATCATATCATGATTTATATATTAATAAAAAAACAATTTATACGTTTTAAAGTAATTAAAATCTATAATAAAACTCACAATCAGCATGTCAAGGTTATGTGTGATGACGTCTGGTAGCTTTCGAGCCATGACTTCCTCCACCGACATGCCGTTGAACCGATCTAATGTCCTCTTCGCTTTCTTGGCCGACTCTTCAGCTTCTGTCTTTTCCCTTTCTTCCCCTTTACGAGGCCTCCCCCGTTTCTTTCCTTTAGCAGGAGTCACTGGAATAGCTGCTAAACAGACATTAAATAAGGTGAACTACATATTTAAAAACAGTTATTATTTTATAAAGTGCATTATATGCTGTCCTTTTGTTTATTTTTAATTCTTTTCTCTACACACCTGTAGCAAAATGATATCTTAATTATTTGAAGTGCTACAAATTTCTTTAAGCTTTATAAAATGGGCTGCAGCAGTGTTGGATGTAATTAGTAATTAAGTAATAACTGTACATAAAAAGTTAACTAAGGGATTACTTTTCATTTTTTAAGTAACTTAACTAGAGTAATTTATAATGTACTTGCTCTAAATACTGTCAATGAACTCAACAGTATTGGATTCAATGTTTCAGGGAAGCAGAGTAACAAAATACAAATATATTTTGCAGAATATTTTACTTTTCAGCTTTTATTGAACAAGCTTAAAAACAATGAATTGAGTCAGAAATGAATGACAGAAAATGGTGAGGAATATAATATGGTGTTGTTACTTTAAAAGTTTTGGTCCCTGAACAGTTTAGCCTCTGCATAAAAATAAAATTTAAACAGATAGAAAATAAGTTTTTTACACAAAATTTGAAAAAACAATAGACTGTTTTCAGAATAAAATGGCTCCTGCTAGAAAAAGACAGTATATAGTATGAGACGAGTCCATATAACAGACCTAAGTTCATCTAAATGTGCCCCCCCCCCCCTTTTCCAGGCAATCCCATACTGCCTCTTTAATACTATATTAAGGTCGGGACACTGTGGAGGCCATTTCATGACTGCTTTAGCTGTTTTTGTCTATAAATATCCTGAATATTTATAAATATCATATAATTTCATGATCAATATACTTATCTATAAATATTGTTTCTGTTCAGGTGATGAGCAAGAAATTTGTATACTATATTATAAATAAATAAATATAAATAATTATACTAAAATGACAAATCATCCCCTTGGAATTATAAGGTTCTATCTGCGTTCTGAATAATTTTGAGATATTGAACATCAAAGTTTTTGCATTCCATAGCAAACAGTATGCATGTAAGGTTTGCTTTTTAAATAAAAGGTCTTGAAATTTAAACAACTAATAAAAAAACATCCCATAATGTAAATAAGTTGTCATTTAATAAGAAAAACTCAAATATAACAAAAATATCAGATAGAACCTTATAATTTTAAGGTGACGGAATCTAATGGTGGCCAAAGACTAGCACAGTACTGTATATCACATTTATTAATATTCCAGTTACACTTTTAATAAACAAAGTGGTCCTGCTTGACACAAATGTAAAGAGATTAATTTCTAATGCCTGTGTGTTTAGATTTTTAGGGATTTTAAATAGTATTGGGTAAAGTAATAAAGTAAAACAACGTATTGAGTAATTGAGTTACTTTTCTGACATAGTAAGTAACAAGTCATTTAAATACACTTTTATTGATCATGAAGTACCTCATTGCTTTTTAGAAGTAACTTACCTAACACTGGACTGAAGAAATATCTCTAGATATATTGTAAGGAGAAAAAAGTCGCACCTGGTGGTTGGACAGGGAGCTGTTGAAACTGTTGAGGTTGATCTTGATATGGGTCTTGATGCACAGATAAATCAGTCATGATTTTTTCCTCCATGGGTCTCTCTGTGTACTGGCTGGCATTGACTAGCTGCTGGTACTGTGGCACCTGCTCAGCCTGGTACTGCTGAGGGTTGCTTTGGTACCTGAGAAATATTGAAGAGGAAAACACTGCACTTAAAAATTAAATAAAAAAATAACCTCATTGTTTCTTGTCAGTATTTTCACACGTAACTTACAATTAAATATAAACTAATTGGCTTATTAGAATGTTGTATACTTATTAAGAATATATATATATATATATATATATATATATATATATATATATATATCATTTTACTATACAGTTGAAGACAGAGTTATTAGCCCCCCTTTGATTTTTGTGTTTTAATATTTCCCAAATTATGTTTAACAGAGCAAGGAAATTTTCACAGTATGTCTGATAATATTTTTTCTTCTGGAGTAAGTCTTATTTGTTTTATTTCAGCTAGAATAAAATAAGTTTTTAATTAAAAAAAAAATAAACATATTTAAGGTCAAAATTATTAGCCCATTTAAGTTATATTTTTCAATAGTCTACAGAACAAACCATTATCATACAATAACTGGCCTAATTACCCTAAACTGCCTAGTTAACCTAATTAAGCCTTTAAATGTCACTTTAAGCTGTTAAGAAGTGTGTTGAAAAATATCTAGTAAAATGTTATGTACTGTGATCATTGCAAAGATAAAATAAATCAGTTATTAGAAATGAGTTATTAAAACTATTATGTTTAGAAATGTGTTAAAAAAATCTTCTTCCCGTTAAACAGAAATTGGGGAAAATAATAAACGGGGGCTAATAATTTAGGGAGGCTAATAATTCTGACTTCAACTGTAACTTATATGCATTATTTAAATTAATTACAATATAACATGAGGGTTGCTTTTGATACCATTAAACTTACAACTTCTTATCCCATTTTGATTGCATTTGTTGGGCTCATAATCACAAAATGACTACTTATTCTTATATTTATTGAGAATAAGCTCTTTTTGGATTTTTGGATTATAAAAACTCACCAGTACTGAAGATAATCCATTGGAGCCGTCAGAGAGGAATACTGCCTTTCTTCCATCTTATTTGGTGGTTTACTTTAACAGATTAATATTCATGTTTATGTTACTGATATCCCAACTGCCAAACCACACCTCCCTTTGTTTCATCTTTTCTGCTACACGAGTCTCATTTTCAGCAGAGTTGGCATATCAGCTATACCTTACAACATAACTTAAAACACTGCTAAATTCACTAGAAATATATTTGGGTTCATTTCTACGAGTATTTTTTATGTCGAGTTATAGATGAATCTCACTCAATAAGCTAAAGCTGTGTGGACCAGTCAGTGGTCGCAAACAAGCACTAAAACATATTTCGTAATCTAAAGACTTATTTTTATGCACTAGGTTTATAAATCTTACCTGTCATATATTTTCTTCAGACCTTTTCTTACACATATCAGTGTTTAGTGTAGGAAAATAGGAGCTAAATGATGCTACACATGATGAATGAAGCCGGTGTAGGTACATATGTCAACAAAGGTAAAGGCTAAGTTCAAAATAAAAGTCCCTGTTTTGATAAGACCGACGCACTTAGATAGTTGGTAGTGGATTTTTAGCTTTTTATTTTCTTTTATTTATCATAGACAGCTGTTATAACATGAATACGTTAAAGCATTGATATGAGGTATCATTCGTGCAGATCGTAAATCTATACTTTTATGTAATAAAACGTCGTTTTATATCTGGCTTCACGTTATTAGATGCTACCATTATTTACAAAGGGGGGAATCGTATTTTGTTAATCACAGATTTATCTTTAAAATTTTATGTTGTGCATTAAAACACCAATGTTTAAATGAAAATGTAATAAATCGTTAGGTGAACTGATTTAATATGTTTTGATTGATTTCTTAATAAAAAATAGTGCAAATAATAAAGTCAGAACTCCCTTTGACAAAAGTAATGTACAATAGACCCAGAGCAAGCGTGTGCGATATGTGACAAGAACATTTACGGGTGAATGTCTAACAGCAAAACTACGCTGTAATGTTACTTTTATATTAAACATAACAAGGTAAGTACACGTCTCTCCAAATTTTGTCTAAATTTAGGAATTATAATACAGCATTTATGTGATACCACATGCGCTTTCTTTCTTGCTACAAGACAACTAACGTTAGGGATAAATGACCTTACATCAAAACTGTAGTCGTTTGTCGTTAGATATGTATAATAATGCTTAAATGTATTTAAATAAACTCTTATGCGCCTATAAGAATACCTGCATTTAGACTATACAAGCATTTAGAATAAAAAAGGTCCATTTGAAGGTTAGCAAGCTTACATTATAATTGACATATAATAATCAATGGGAGCTAATTAAATGTAGTTATACATTAATAACGCTTGATTGCATAATAATTGATATTTAGGCAAATATATTTCTAACCACATCAATACAAGAGCAATAATGCTCAAACTAAATAAATTGATCAAGATATTAGAAATATTTATTGTTTATGAAACAAGTGATCAATGCGGCAGTGGTTTATTAGGCACACAGTCATTTTATATGCAATATTCTATTACAAAAGTGTGAGAAAGCGAAATATATTTAGCAAAAATGTTTTGACATTGATGTAACTTTATTCATAATTAGAAAAGAAATTAGTTATACAAATATTTCTACACGTAAAATGTTTCTTTAAAAAAGAAACAAATTAAATATAATCTAATTTATCTTCTATGTCAAAATGGACCTAGATGCATTATGAGGGTAAGAAAGAAAACTAAAAATGACTTAAAATTTTACAGTTTTTCTATAACTTTATAAATACTCTAATAATTAATTAATTGTTTTGTTGTTGTTGTTGTTGTTTTTATTAAATAAATTAGTGATTAAACAATATAAAACTATTGTAATGAGTTAACATTCTCCCAACATTGGTTTTAAACATGACCAGAGCAAATAAACTTTACTCTTTCTTTAGGTAAAATTTCTCATCCTTAGCATAACATCAGAGTTTTGAGGATGCCAGCAGGCGTATCTTGGCCCAGATATCTGCGGATGTTTGCAGCCAGTGTGTTGTCCATGTTTGCTGGAGCACAGGTTGTGCATCACTATTACCGTCCAGATCTAGTAAGTTTCCAAATTTAACCTTGACCTTCTGCTATTTAATTATATGGATTGTTTTAGGGATTTAGGGATCATAATTTGACCTCCATTTTATTTCAGTAATTTTACATGTATACTGTAAAGTACAATATACCTATATCATAAAAAATTAGTAAAAGAAATATGCATTACAAAAGGACATTAGGTAAGTTTCTATTTAATGTTGACTGTAAGCCGTAAGTAAAATAGATTGTAATAATATAATGTTTATTTATTTTCATCATAGTCCATTCCAGAGATTCCACCAAAGCCTGGAGAACTGCGAACAGAACTTCTCGGCTTGAAAGAAAGACAGATGGACTCTCAGAAACAATGACCATTTGATTTTTTTTTTGTCACATCGACTGCAGATGATGTATAGACTATGAAATCTTGATTTTGTCATTAAATAAATAATTTAAAACTTTATATCACAAAATTCTGATGCCAACTGCAAGTTCTTTAAATTATAAACTTTTGAAATGTTGTCTTTTTTTCTCCACTTTGCAAGTCTGTATCTTGCAATTCAGGGAGATAAATCTAAATTGCATTCTGTATACTCAGAATTATGAGTTTGTAGGGGAGAGTGGGCCACAAAGTAACACTTTTGGGTTTTAGCCAAATAATGAGCCAAGTAATGGGGTTAGACAAACCATATTTTTAACCAACAACACACAAGCCTCTTCCACAAATGAACACTGATTGTATGATCGCCGGACCTATGGTTTCTGTGCAGTATTGCCAAAAGTGCCTGGAGTAAAAATTGTACTATTTACCCCACCTGTGGCAAGTTAAAACAGACAGAGGGTTAGTTGTAGCACAGAGGTTCTCAAAGTGGGGGTCGGGACCCCCCCGAGGGGTCGCGGGACAATGAAGGGGGGTCGCCTGGTGATTTTCAAAAATCAATCAGTTTTTATTAAACCTTAAGACTTACTGTATTTTATCAATAACCTACTAAAGAGAAAAAATAGTCGTTTATAGTTACTATAAACTATATAGTTACTATAGTAGCTTAAAGTTAATAGTTCTATTGGATTGCGACTTCTCTGGTAATCACATTATACTAAAGGCACAGCAATACTTTCAGATGCAGCAGATTGATTTTATAACACCAGGTTAAACTTTCTAGCCCATTTACAGCACTGACATACATAAAAAAACAAAGAATAGACTTGGGTCTATTGGTGTGTGTGCGTCATTGCATACAAGGTTTCTGTATTTATAACCACCACCTCAGAGAATATTGGGGGTCACGAGTCACTGGCATTGTCATTTTGGGGGTTGCGGGCTGAAAAGTTTGGGAACCCCTGTTGTAGAACATGCTTAAAAAAGGCAGATTTTACACAATTTATTTAAATTCAGTTTACTTTAAATAATAGCTAATTTACTAGGTATTTGACTTAATTGTTTTTATTCTACATAGCACAGTATGTTTATTCATTAATTTATATATTAGAGAAACACATTTGTATTTATTTATATTATTATGCATCATTATACAATGCATTTATTTGCATTATTCATTCATCATTTTTCTTTTCGGCTTACTCCCTTAATCTGGGGTCGCCACAGCAGAATGAACCACTAACTTATCCAGCATATGCAGCGGATGCCATCACTGGAAAACACCCATACACAGTCATTCACACACATACACTACGGACAATTTTAGCTTGCCCAATTTACCTATACCGCATGTCTTTGAACTTGAGGGGGAAACCGGAGCACCCTGAGGAAACCCACATGAAAGTGGGGAGAACATGCAAACTCCACACAGAAATGCCAACTGACCCAGGCGAGGTTCGAACCAGCGACTTTCTTGCTCTGAGACGACAGCACTACGTACTGCACCACCGTGTCTCCTTATTTGCATTGTTAGCAATAAAATATTTTTTTTCTATTAAAAATAATTCTATTAAAAAACATTTTTATATAAAAAGTTGTCCTTACACTCAAAGTTAAAAAATATTTTGTTAGTTTAGTTTGTGTGTGGCTTAATAGTAACACCCTGTTACAACTAAACCTGCTGTGTCGCATATTCCTCAAAACTGGCGAGCAGTCACTGTGTTTTTCACACAATGGTTTAATCTTTCAGCTTACAAGACTGTAATCACAACAATATGAGATTTTACTTACATATTTTCACAGATATTTTTAAAGTAAAAAAACATCGACTGTATTAAAAAAATACTTTATGCTGCAAAAATGGTTTCTGCTATGTTTTTTCAATAATTTGCAGGAAGATATCTGCTGACACTGTGGTGAAAATCTTGGAGGCATGACTTGGTTAACTCTGAAAAACCCTGTTACATTTTACCCCGCATAACTTTGTGCCCTGCGCTCCCCTATCTCATGATTCTGTTTTTTTTTTTTTCAGATCTGTTTAAATTATTATTTTTTTTGATTGATTGATTTATCTTTATTTCTACAGCGCTTTTAGAATGTAGATTGTGCCAAAGCAGCTTAACATAGAAGTTCCAGCAAATTAAAACTGTCAGTCCAGTTTTCAGAGTTAAAGTTCTGTTCAGTTCAGTGTGGTTTACATTTCATTGCTGAAAGTCCAAACACAGAAGAGCAAATCCATCGATGCACAGCTCTACAAGCCCCAAACCAAGCAAATCAGTGGCAATATTATATGTAAATATATAAATATAAATATATGTATTCATTTCACGAGCTTGCATTCTGAATTTAACGAGATTAGAAAGGGTGTACAAAAACAGTAAATATCATAACACACCTTTCTGTTCACTGTTTACACTATATGTGTGTTGTATGTTTGAGGATGAAACTTTTTAGACTAAATGTTAAAGGAGGTATCTCCTCGATCAATCAGTAATGAGGTACTTTTACCTTTTTTAAATTTTTAAAAGATCTTGTGTCAGAAATGGGCTTTCTTACGAAAGACTTCTATGTAGTGTGAACAAATGTTTTTTAAGGCCTGAGTAAAATTATGTGAAGTTTCTTTATTCTATGAATAAAGTTGTTTATGTGTTTATTATTGTGTCTGAATGTTATATAAAAAACTTCACATCTCAGCACTCCATATCAGTTCTTCATGAATTGTTGTTTAAGTTAGAGGAATAGTTTCTGTTGAAAACAAAAGAAGATTTAGGAAGAATGTTGTAAACTTGTAGATGCTGAGGTCCAAAGTAGGAAAAAATACAATGTCAGTTAATAAATACAGGCTTTCAAATATCCTAATATTTTCTTTTATATTCAACAATAGAAATATTACATTTTGATGAACGTTTATTCGGACTTTTATTCTGAAAGCAGCCTGTCAGTGTGCAAACGGAAGTGAGCGTGTGTTTGTTTGAGTCTGTTCTACATCATGTCCAGCTGATCGCGCTCGTGTGTCTGACAGAAGCTGCTCTGCCGCGGGGAAACATGCCCACTTTGTCCTTGCCACTTTCCAACCTGCTCCGCAATAAGGAGGGTTTTAGGAGACTCGTGGCGCATTATAAGTCTCTGCACACCGACAGCGGGTCATGGTTGTTCAGCAGCAGCACCCCGTGTTTCACTCGTTCTCGGGAAGCCAGATTTGGACTCTTGTCCAGAAGGAAGGGTCCTGTGGCTCCGCTGACAGCCGGGAACATGTGCACCTGCTCCGGCGACGACAAAACCAGCTGGCTCTGGTCTATTTACAATGAAACCAAGCAGAAAACGCAAGGTTAGTGTGTAAACGCGTTTCAGAGATGTCTGTTCTATCCAGGCAATGTTGTTCTAAAAGTCTTTCTGGATTTTGTTTATTTTTACAGTTCATAAATGAAATATTATTTTCTATTTGTGTAAATGTGTGTTTTTTTCTGTTGTTTTTTATTCTAAGTTTCTCATGCTTTACTATATTGGTTGGGTTATTATAAATATAAAGGTTGTAAGTTATTATTGAAGTGTTATGAATAGAGCTTAACATTTTAAGTCGATTACGATTAATAAACGATTATTTTATTTATTTATTTTTCAGTTGTGTACAGTAAATTTTCTCACATATTACAAGTGAGAGTTTTTTTGTTTGAAAGGTCCATTACCTGGTTTAAAAATAATGGAAGGAAACACACACACACACACACACACTGTCTACTATCCATGATTATTTATTGAACATCTACCTTTAACAACTGAAATCAAAGCACACATTACCTAAAACAAACTTTTTAAAAAAGTGAACTTGCACTTTTGGAAACAAATTATTGTCTATATTTTACATAATAAAAGTAGAAAATAAGCAGTATCTCTCATAAATAAAATAACTTTTTAAATACTGCAAATACTATTTTAAACAGTGCATTTCTTGCATCTTCTTAAAACAAATATTTTAATGTAAATAATAAATGTAAAGAAATTGAAAACATGCAGCTTCAAATCACCGTCAATGCAGTGCAAAGTAAAAGGCTTACGAATGGGTCAATCATCCTCCTTAACCAGAGATCAGATGTGGCTGCAAAGTGGCAGCAGAAGTATAAGCCAGCCTCGGCCTAACAAAGCAGATATTTAAATCAATTAATTAATTGAAAAAATCGAGCTTAAAAAATTAGATCGATTATAGGGTTTGAATGTAAATTTTGAATATTTTTCGATGAATCGCACAGCCCTAGATGTGAATATGTATTTACTTACTCTCTTTCTGTCTTTCGTGGATAAGGAAACGGTGTTGTACTGTATGCACTCCACTGAAGACATCCATTAGCCTATACATATTTAATTTTGTTTTGTTAAGCGCAAAGATTTGTTTCAAAACTATTCTTAATTTCAGTTCTATTTTCCAGTAAGCGAATAAATGAGCAATAATAATTAAGTGTGGTCGAAAAATTGAGTTATATCCAAACACATGTCTTATGCCCCATATGGTCCAAAACCTGATAGGTGGACAAATCTAAGATTGTTTTTAATAAAACAAATATAAATATGCACATAATAAATAATGCTAATAATAACATTATACAACTGAAAAAAGCCCCCTGAGATGAAAGCATGGAGCCAGTGACTTATATATTATTGTAGAAAATATAAATTTTTAAAATATTTTAATTCTTTTTTATTTCTTAAAGATATTTGTGTATTGCTGTGCATCCTGTGTGTATTAAGCAATGTGTAAGCGTTTAAGGTGCACAACTAACGCGTTCTGTGCTGAACTTTAGACCTGCTTTCAGCTGGTCGATTGCACAGTCTATTTCAGTTCCTCAAAATAGCAATGCGCCAACAATGCGCCTTAACACACCTCTTTTCTAGACTGAAACACTCATGAGCCTTATTGCGCCTGGTGTATGATAGGACCCGTAATGTTGTTTTGAAGTCATACCTGCATGTAGTTTTAGACCGAATATTCAAAGTTGCGATGTAAACAGTATAGGGTCTGTGTCAAGCAATGACTGTAAAAAATATGGACGACGCGACAGCCCTTTTTCCCATTGAACGCCTTGAGGGCAAAACGCCTGCTTGACGGGCACAAACTGTCGCAAAAGACTGCTGAAATTGGAGCCAGACATGCGCAGAAGGATTGTCTGATGGAGCCAGAGGAGGAGCCGCGAAAATGAGCAGAGTCGAGCTTCCAATCAAACGCTTTATGTAAAATCAACTACGCCCCCCGAACTTCTCAGCATGCGTTTGCTGTCATATCAACACAAATGGATGTAATAACGTTAACAAATATGATGGCTTTATATTCAATCGCGCCAGCTCCAGGCCGCAGCGCATAAATTACTCGCGGCGTCGCGGGCTGATTCCGGCTCGCATGCGGCAGCGCCTGCTCGCTCGGCCGCCGCATCTGGCTCGATTGACTCGGGCTGGAATTGGGTAGTGAGTCCAGGCATCCGGAGTAGGTCCAGCAGAGGTAACATTAGTCAGTCTGAGCTCTAAGAGATAAGTCTCCGGCAGGCGAGAATCTAGCCGGAACTGTGTTTTGCTATCTGGGTGGCTAGGCGTGTATCAGCAAACTAATAAAGCCCGAAAAAAGCCCTGAACTTAGCGAATAAACAGTGTTCCACCAGGATCATGTATGTCAGAAACTATAGTTTACTGCTGAACTCATTTTGTCATGGTAAAATAACACAGAAATCGAATAATAACATTTCAGTCTACTTCAGTCTCCTGCCGAAGCTCAAACGCCGCGCTTTGAGAAACTGTCAATCACAGCTGTTAATCACGATGACACGCCCAGCATTAAATTACTGCTAAAAACAAACTGTTTACAAAAATGAAGATCTGCACCTATTTCAGCACAATAACCAGTGCCTTAATCGACCAGAACTATCTTTCGGGACATTTTATTGCAAGTGTAATATTTTTTTTTATTTGGGCTCAAGTCTCCTTCATTAACACGGAGGAGGCGGGCTTTATGACTTGTACTGCAGCCAGCCCCCAGGGGGCGATCTAACGGCCGAAACCTTCACTCAAACGTAGGCTTGCGGCACACTTGGTGTCAAGTTGTCACTTTTGAAAAAAATTACGAATGTGTGAATATAAAACCAACTTTACCTTTATAATACTTTTTATTAAGTTAAACTTATTTCAGTTAGCTACTATGGTAACATTTAATAACTTTTTTTATCTAACGTTTACATTTTATATTATTTCCGTGTTATTAAAATTACATTGAAACAAAGTATCTGTATTGCTGTTAAGTATATATCGACTTATTGTGCAGTACTTAGAGATGATTTTGCCATTGCAATATATACTTACACATTCACAAATAACGTTAAAGCCATTTTACAATATCATTTATGCTCTCCCTCAATAGTGATGATTTATAATTGGACATTTACCTAATAAGGACATTTAATAGTATATATAATAGGACATATACCTTTTTAACATCAAACTATAGAATCTAAATAACCTTAAGAATGCTAAGTATTTTGAAGTTTTTATGGCTATCTGCATTATTATGTTGTTATAATCATTATATAATCAATAATAATAAAATAATAATAAAAAAATATATATTATCACTTATAGCAAAGATATCTGTGATAATATATCGCACAACAAGTAATCTTTGTACTGACAGGCCTACTTTTAAGTTTACATAACAAGAATAACCAACAAGAAAAGAAAATACATATATACATAAAATATAAATCATTCAGTTAAACAAGTAAAAGGTTTACAGCAAATACCTGAAGCCCCCAGCCATATTTGTGTTATATATATATATTTTTTTATATATATCTTCTCATGAAAACAAACCCGTATTGTTTTGTTTTCATTTTAGAAAGTCATAAAGGGACTCGAAGCGTCTTCATTTTTTCAACGAAGCACTTGCTATAAGCTGCTTAGCTTGTAAAAATTAAAAAAACATAATTAAAAATATATTATCTTCTCATTTTAAGATTAAAAGTTAAGAGTAAACATTTTTGGTTAATTTTTTTTAATATTCTTTATTTTACCTAAACATTTCCACACATTCCCATATACAATGAAAGAAAGTAAGTGTAAGTGAATTGCATTAACAGTGCTATAAAACTGATCTAATAAACATTAAGTTAGGTGAAACTTTAGTTTTGTCTTTCTTTCAAAATCAATACATTACTACAGGTTAATTATTAATCATTTTAGTTTCTATTTTTATTTTAATATGCTTCATTGTAATGTTAGCAAACATCCTTAAAATGTCAATTATTAATTAACACACAAATGTGTTGTGTTTTTTTTCACCACAGATTTAATTCCTGTGATATCAAACAACTTTGTGAACCCAGACACCATCTTCGCTAACAATCAGATGAGTCTACAGGACATTGAGATTTATGGCTTTGACTACGACTACACGCTTGCTTTCTACTCTAGTCACCTTCACACACTCATATTCAACATCGCCCGTGACATTCTCATCGAAGAGCACAGGGTGAGTGACCCTGTAAACTGATTATTTCTAAAATGACAACGCTCTGAATAGTTTTAGCATGGTAATAATAAATATAATGATCAAATATATATGACTGTTCTACTTAAACCAAGTTTAAAAATCTTAGTTATTTATAATTTTATCAGTCAGTTCAGTTTCAGTTTCCTTTATTTTGTCATTCAAAATATCAAAGTAGGTGTTATGCAGAAGGAAATTGTTACATCGAGTCGGCGCAATGACTTGATGGTTGAAGCGCTGACATGTGTTGCAGTGGCATGTCAAGGCGTCCAGAGTTTGTGTTCCGGTTCAAGGACATTTCCCTACCCTACCCCCTCCCCCCCTCCCTCTCAAACTTCGCTTCCTGTCTCGATGCTTTCCTATCTGATGGGGGCAAGGAGGCCAAAAATGGATCTTTGAAAAAAAGAAAATAAAGAAATTGTTTGGCTCCATCTGCTGCTAAAAACTAAGCTCAGAATCAATTCAAGAGAGAATGGTGATGGATTTTAAAAGTCTTGGAATCAATAGACCCTTTTCCCATGACATCACGCCGTGTCCGGTTTCAGTCCACCCAGTGTATCATTACTTCCGCCTACACAGAATTCCCCATTGAGAACTCACCCAGTCAGCTGTATATTTACTACAGATACAGTTAGACCAGGGGTCGGCAACCCGCGGCTCTAGAGCCGCATGCGGCTCTTTAGCGCTGCCCTAGTGGCTCCCTGGAACTTTTTCAAAAAATGTTTGAAAATGGAAAACGATGAGGGAGGTAAATATATTTTTTGTTTTAATATGGTTTCTATAGGAGGACAAACAATCTTAACGTTTTCCAATGCTGTAAAAGTGTGTAGAATATTAAATTTCAACATTTCTGTCAACGAAGATTTGCGTCATAGGCTGCGACACACGTTTCTATCAGCAGGGCGGGATGCCAGGCAGGTAGCTGTTGTAAACAAACCGGCGGCTGTGTGATGCGCCATGGAGCACAAGCTGTCTTTGCCAAAGATGTACAGCGGGGCACGCTTTCTCATTTACCCTCCCTGAGAGAATTCAAAGAAGCCCATCCCCATCACTCACTCAATGGTGATTATTTACAAGGTGCGATCGTTGATATGCAAACTGCATTTGAGAGCAGATTTTGCGAGTTGCGAAAGGAAAAAACGAGACTGTCTTTCCTTGACACACACCCCTGGAGATTGACCCTTTCTTGTTGAGCACATTCCCAGGAATGACTCGAGCTGATCTTGAAATGGAAATGGCAGACTGCGTTTTATTGCACTGTTGCCCAGATAAGGGGCACGTTGTGCACGTTCATTTTAATGTTGTTTTTTGGAATCCTCAAAACAAAATAAAAAAACATTTAAAAAAAATCTGATTTCTTTATTGCATTTCTTTAATTTCATCAAAGCAAAACATAATGCAATAATATTGTAATGAAGTTAAACTTGATCATTAAACATAATTCATTAATATTGTAATGAAGTTAAACTTGATCATTAAACATAATTCATTAATATTGTAATGAAGTTAAACTTGATAATTAAACATAATGCATTAACATTGTAATGAAGTTAAACTTGATCATTAAATAATTCATTAATATTGTAATGAAGTTAAACTTGAACATTAAACATAATTCATTAATATACTGTAATTAAGTTAAACTGCAGAGAAAAACTGCAGGGAAATGAACATTTAATCATGAAGGCTCAGTATGTATTTGTAGCCAACGAAGTCATTTTTATAGTAGGCTAATATAGCTAATATAAATACATACAGCATGTGTTGCCATCATTATAAGGCTTATATAAGGCTTTTAATTTTTTGCGGCTCCAGACATATTTGTTTTTGTTTTTTTTGGTCCAATATGGCTCTTTCAACATTTTGGGTTGCCGACCCCCGAGTTAGACCATGACTATGGCTGTTTTCTGTCTTTAATTTTCATATTAAATGAAATAGAAAAACAATGTTGTATGGTATTCTTAATAATCAAACTAAAATAAAAATTTACAGTTGCAAAAACAACACCAAGAAGACAGCATTTTTATTCAGTATTGTTAGTTTATGAAATTATTTGTAACATTATTAATTAAAAGGTAGTACTAATATCAAATTTAATCCACACAGCAGGTGGCGGCAGGGCACTGCCTTAATTCATTCAAATGAAGAAACTGAACAAAGCATTAATAGATCAGTAAATATTAAAGGATGAAACTGATTGCATTTATAGATGACATACTCACCAGGTATATGTGAAGATTTAATAAAGACTTACTCATGCTGGAACATTTACATATAACAGATAATATAGATTTATATTTATAGCATCATCAAAGTAAAAATAGATCTGTTATTGAATAAATAAAATAAAACTTAATTAACATATGAAAAGTTTGCAAACACATACTTTCCTTTATAAACAAATAGCTTATTTCTATTCTAAATCATTTAAACAATCATTTTTAAACTCAGAAATAGGCATGGGACGATAAATGTTTTCAAGGTTTACCATGATTTGGAAAAGTCAAGGTTTTTTAAAAACGCCAAAATACCATTCCTACGGTATGTGTAAGACTTTATATTTACGTTTTTTATTTATTATTATTTTTTTAATAGGACAACAGTATCTCCAGCAGAAAAAAATATCCAAAGATGCCGTTTTAAATTTTAAAAGAAATCTGTCTTTAAATAAAATGAAGGAGATCAATAAATTTTTTGAATTATTTAGCCTGACATGTTTACTGTCCCAAACTATGATAAATCTTTCAAAAAATAAAATATATTGTTTTCAAAGGGGAAAAGAGTTCTTGTTTTTACAGAGACATAAAAAAGAATATATTTTAAAGCACTGAGTACAATACCATCATACCGTAAAACCGTGATGTTTTTATCCAAGGTTATTATACTGTCCGGCCCATGCCTACTCCGAAAGCAGTTCAGTATTAAAAGAGAAACATTTGGACGTATGCCCAATACTTTAATAGTCCTAAATCACAACATGCAATGTTAATATTTTCAGTTGTAAATTTTCCAGAGGTTTATCCCTTTCATTCAAAGGTAAACCGGAAGTAAAAATACATTGCGTTGCTGATAGGGTTATTGTGAAAAGGGTCTATTTCTCTGGTGATTCTAGTATCTCTGTGTATACATAATATTTTTTAAATAGAAATCATTGGCATCTACTGACCTGGCTTGTGTAATACAGTGCTTTAGTTGTTTTATGCTGAACTGTCAATGCTGTTAATGGGGATTGTTGTTACAAGAGTGTCAACTGTTCGCAAAAATCACATAATTTATTTAAAGGAAAAACGTTTTTATAAAAGACAAGTGTAGCTGGGGGAGGTGTAGAAGATTTTGAAGAACAAACTAGACCTAGGCTAGACTACCTAAATGTTGAGCAGCCAGTTAATGCCTTAAAAACTGTATCTTGTTTTTCTCTGCCCACCTAACAGTATCCAGAGGGACTGAGGGAATATGATTACATCCCTAATTTTGTAATTCGTGGTTTGCACTATGATGTTCAAAAGGTACGTGTCCGGTCCTGATCTGATATCGGTTCATGCTATTTTCATGTGTTTTGTCTAACATTTTAATTTCATTTGATTTCCAGGCCTTACTGATGAAGATTGATGCCTTTCATTATATTCAGCTGGGTACAGTGTACAGGTAGAGTTCAACAAATACAGTCTCTAGCCACTTTATTATGCTTGTTTTGCTAGTACACTATGGATCCCCTCAGAACTGCTGTTAATCCTTCTTGGCATAGATTCCGTAGATGCTGAAAACATCACACATTTGCTGCAGATTTGTCAGCAGTATATCCATGATATAAATCTCCTGTTCCAGCACATTTCAGTTTATTCTGTTGGATTGAGATCTGCTGACTGTGTGGGGATCCACTCATTGTCATGTTCAAGAAATCAGCTTTTTTCAGCTGGAAGTTGCTATTACAAGATGGTACAATGTTGTCATAAAGGAATGGACATGTTTTGGTGTGATCTAAATTACTTTTTCCCCCAGTGTAATGGAGTTAGGTATAAACGTAGGTCAGACCCAGCTCCAAGTGAATGGGACTTCAAGTGGGCTGTACAAACTTCCTAGGGATGTTGATTTATTTATGTAATGCCTTGTACATGTAACAATTACCTATACCCAACCTATTGTATTGACCTTATTCTTCAATGTGGAAATGCGCTCATTTTTGCAATTGTTTTTTGAACTTCCGATTCAGTTGCCTATATGAGAAATGACTAGGAGTAATAAACAACAAAAAACGATCAAGCTACTTGCTCTACAAACAGACAAAGCAGAATAATATAATAAGAAAATATCAGTTTGCAACATCAAGTAGCGTAGCACTCTGTTTTTAATGTCTAAAAATGAATAAAAGTGAATGAGACTGGAAGTCTCGAGCCAAAAAAATCAAATGGCTGCACCCACTCATACGCTAAGAATAAGGACAATACGGAGCTCCTGAAAACCACACAAAATTCCTTGTGTGTTTGTGCACACTTGGCGAATAAAGTTAATTCTGCTTTCTTAACGTCTAACACCTACACCAACACGAAACTTACCCCTTACAGTAATGAGAAGTCAGTAATTGTTGTCAATAATTACACTATATATATATTGATGCATGCTTAGTAGCCACAGCTGTAAGCCCTTCTAGCCAAACCCAACCTACTCGTAAGCCCCTCCCACTTGGAGGCATCTGGGCTACAGTGATATATACTGTACTTGGTTTGATGCTCAGTTTGAACCAGCAAATTCTCTTGACCACCTCTAAACATCTACATGCATTGACTGTCATGTGATTAGTCATTGTGATTATGCACCTAATAAAGTGGCCAATGGGTGTGCAGTATTCGTTAACATTTTTGCAATTTGTATTTATGTATAAATTGACTCATGATTATTTTATTAGGGGTCTTAATCCTGTACCAGAAAAGGAGGTGATTGCGATGTATGAGGGCTCCCATGTTCCCCTTGAGATCATGAGTGACTTTTATGGCAAGGTGTGTATATTTTGATTTCAAGGGATTTGTCTGATAGCCTAAAGGTCCCAGTATACTTAAAACATACTAACGTTGCTACACACACACGCACACACAAACACACACACATACAAACATGTATACAGTGCTATAACTGCCAATCTATAATGGTACAATTTTGCAGTAACTCCACAAATAATGTGCTCAAATTACTGTGATGTAATGTGACTTTTTGAAATGCACCCTTGTGATGACGATGCTGAAACAAAATATATTGTGCAGCCCTAGTGCATTCACGTATATGTTCAGTTTGTAAACATGTGGAGGGACAAAGTCTACAGGACTGCATTTGTACAGAGATATAACATTTATTTACAATGTGACATTGCCATCTACTGGCTGGTGTTAAAAATACAACATTTGTTGTCATCAAATGTGAGGTGTGCGAACAGAAATAGTTTTGAGTTAAATATTGTCATAAGTACGAAAAACGTTTTGTCATGCAAATGTGTTCCTAGACAGATGGAGCTGAGGTGTAATTTACACTAGCCTAGTGTTTTAGTTTTAAAGTGTATAAAGTTTTGTTATGTTACACCTGCCGTTCATACTACTGCCACACTACTAAATGCTAAAGACCCATTTTTAGTTTGTAAATGCTGTTGTTCTGTTTCAGTATAGACAGAATGAGGCTATGCCTACCCTAATTTTGGTTTTCAAGTGTGACATTTACATTACTCTGAGCTAAACTTAACTGAATTTCATCTGTGAAAACTGGAATGAAAAAGTTTCAATTTACTAGAACTTTATCTATGTTACGCTGCTTTAAAAATCTACATCGTAAAAGTGCTATAGAAATAAACATGAATTGAATTAATCGTAAATTGGTCACATGACTAATATGCGTCATCATTTTCGAAAGTCTCTGTTCTCACAGTCCATGCTGTAAAACAAAATTGGCATTTTCAAATGTATCTAATTTGGAAAGCATTTTAAACGAGTGTGGACAGAAGGCCAAAGCGCAGAGGAAAAAAAAATGTATTCAGGTGGACGTGGCCTGAAATGAATACTTTTAAAAATTAAGAGCAGTAGTCTAACTGGTCTTCTGAACTATTGTGTGTCATTTCCTGATTTGTCAAGCCCCTCTCATATGCCTACTACACAACATAGAGATTGTTTTTCTAAAGCACAGTAAAAACACCAGTCTGGATGAGAATCATTTTTATTCTACAACTCCGTTTTAACCCCTGTGCACTGTTCACATTTACTTCCCTTCTGTTATGTTGGGGATAAAAACATCCACTGAATTAAACTTCTGTAAAAATGCATCAGAGAAATCACAGTCAAATCTTTTTATCACAGTCTTGGACATGTGAATGATTAGTAACAACATTGGCTTTGATGCATTTACTGTTGGTGGCTGTTTTTGCCCCATTGACCTCAATTGTAACCACCTTTGATGGTGCATAAATACACAGTCTTTGTTTTTTTACTCCATGTTGTTTTAGTTTTTTTACTCCATGTAGTTCTGTTATACTCCATATAAAATCCCAAAACTAAGCTTTTTTTGCATTGGTGCCAACTGATGATCAATGGTAAAAATGACACATCTGACCACTTTTCAACAAGGAAAACCACCACCAATCAAACATGCATGATTATAAGGTGTCATAGTTTTGTAATAAAAAAAAAAAAAAAAAAAAAAGCGGTTATAATGAAAGTCAAGGGGCAAAAAACACCCACAGAAAATGAAATCAATCAAAAACATTGCATCAAAGGAATACTGTTTCACATGTCCAAGACTTATGTTAAAAATAGTCATTTTGTGTGTGTTTTTGTTCACCAAATCAGTGACATCATTTATGAATTTGGCAATTAAAGAGTTACAGTTCTGTAATTTGAGCTATTAAGTAGTTTTGATCAGGATTGAGGTTGGTTAAAAGATTTATGCAAAAAAAAAAAAAAAAAAAAAGTATATATATATCTGATGCATTTTTACAGCAATGTAATTCAGTGGATGATTTGTCACCAAAAATCATAATGCTAGCTTAAACACAGAAAACGTTATGGCCAAATTAAGACTCAATCATCCCAGAGTGGATGAAAACCTCCCCAACAGCACATAAGGATTAACACAAAAGCACACCAGTGTAAATATAGCCTGAGTGAGGTGGATCATTTCAGAGGAAAATGAACTGGAATAAAATATTAAGCAATCCTTAAATGATTTATAATAATATATTTAAAAATATTCTTTATTTTTTAAAAACGTGTCACATTTCAACATCAAATTACTTTTAGAGTTCATGTTTGTAACGAGGAGACTGACACAGAGGGATCCATTATGCAGTATTTATTAATCAAGCTCACTCAAGCACACAATATGCACTAAAGTGCAAACACACAACAACAACAGTCTGTGAGGTATCAAGACTGGCAATGAACAGACACAGAGGGTTTTACCAGGCATAGATCGAAGGCAGGCTGCGAGTATCAGAGTCCGTGTATCAGGCGTGGGTCGTGGGCAGGCAGCGAATATCAGAGTCTGTGTATCAGGCGTGGGTCGTGGGCAGGCAGAAGGCGAAGCAGAGTCAGAAACAGGCTGGAGTTATGCACGAGGAATCAGGCAGGAAATAACGCTCAGTAATGCTGGCCGGGGCTAAACAAGACTTCGCCTTGACTGAGTGTTTGTGTGCGGCTTAAAAAAGGTTCGTGGGTCGTTAACTAGATTCAAGACAGGTGTGTGCACAATCAGCGTAGATGGATGATGTAATGCTAGAAGTCCGGAGATGGCGGCCTCTGCTGGCCAGCGAGGGGAGTAACTGGGACCGAGTCGGTGACAATGTTAACAATGTCTTTAGTGGTATGTGATTATTTTAAAAAGATTATTTTTAAGTTTTTGAGATGAAAGTGCACAGTAAATATTTACATTTTAATGCAGTCAGGATTAAGTCAGGATGTTGGTTAAAGCAGTGGTTCTCAGCTGGTTTGGCCATGGGACCCACATTTTTACATGGTCATCAACCCGCGACCCAAATTTTTAGGAACTATAATATAATTTTAGGAATTATAATTAATTTGTATTTATTTGTTAACATACACAAGTAGTGACAGATAAATCATAATAAAATCACCAAGACTTACAATTAAACAATATTTCATTATTGTCATTTAACAAAATGTCTCAGATTATAGAAATATTACAAAGTAAAAACAACAAATATTTGGTTTCTAAAAGTGCTCTTGTGAGCGCACATCACTACATATGATACACTGAGGTTTCAAGACTTTTTTTGTCATCAATATATGTAAATCCATACTTGACATATTCAGGGTCGTACTTGCGCTTCGACATATTTTTAATAAGCAAAATATGTTAAAAATTAAACATTTGTTGTTTTTTTGACCACACACTCTGTGACCCACTGAAAATGTTCCTGTGACCCACTTTTGGGTCGCGACCCACCAGTTGAGAAACATTGGCTTAAAGTATACCGCTTCAAAGGTATTTTGAACATCTTTTTACCTTAAATGATCAAGCCTTAAAAGTGCATTCACATCAGCCATTCATTTACATAGATATCTATGGAAATTCTAGAATTTTACCTCTGAAAATTCACCAAACAATGGTTGAGGTGATCATGTCTTCAACTTTTTCTCTCTCACTCTACAGAGCTCTCATGGTCACACCATGAAGCAGTTCATGGATATCTTCTCCTTGCCGGAAATGACGCTGCTGTCGTGTGTTAATGACTACTTCATGAAGCACAACATCGACTATGAGCCCGTTCATCTTTATAAAGACGTCAAGGTACAGTTCTGCCCCAAAACTTTTTAGAGTATGATTCAAAAATTAGGATTTTGAGTGAAGCGCAGATGTCAGAAAGCACAGAATCTCTTGAGCACACTTTTGGGTAAATATGGCTCCTGAAGGTGCTATTTCAGTTCAGCGAGGACAGGAGCAATCTAATTTTAGAGGATGCACTGCGTGCCTGGAGAGGAGCAGGGTTACAGATGGACAGATGTCTTTTAGTGGCTCTACAGATGAGTGTGATCAATGAAAGACACACTCACGTCATTGCTCTTGCACTCAGTCCTGCCTGTCATTATGAATTAACAAGACTCAAAGGATATGAGGGTCTGACAGCAGGTGTCTGGCTGTGCGTCAGGGCTTTGTGTGTTGTTTCAGTGCAGAACATTAATGTTATGTGAGCTCTGATGTTTTTTTTTGTATGTGTCTGGTCTGTTTTCTGTTTTTTCCAGGAGGTCATAGGAAACGTACATGTCAGAGGGATTATGTATCGAGCAGTCGAGGCTGATATCGGTAATTTTCAATTTTCCAGGGATAAAAACTACAACTGCATGCACTGTGCTTAAAAATATTATTTTTTTGTTTTAGCAAATGAAATATTTATATAAACTATGAAATACTACTAATAAGAATAATGCATTATTTTAATAATGATACAATACAAAAATGTATTGATATGCAATTATTATTGCTATTATAAATAATATTTACTAATAGATGTGTACTGTAATGTGCAGAATATTAAATGATATATTGGACTGTAATTAAAATATGTGATGAGTAATATTTAAGGTATTTTAATGTTAAGTTATTTTATTATTGATGTTATAAATGCAATTGTATGGCTAATATATAAACTGCAATATAAAATTAAATGGTAATATAATAATGCAAATTGGCACCAATATTAGTAAAATGTAATCCAATGTATCTATAAAAAATACAAAACTGATGGTATTATATTATACTAATACATTATTTATATGAATAAAATGGGTATTGTAATGTATAATAACAATTATTATATTAACATTTCTTTTATATTATTATTCTCATAAATATCAAGAATAACATGGTAATATACTCATTTTATATGAACTATAATTACTGATCTGCAGAAATAAAATACTATTTTTACCACTAACATTAAACATTATTTTCATATTTAATCTATTATTATTCTTGCCATTATTTTTATTATCATGAAATAATAAGGTCATTAATATTATGTATTACAATATACATAATATATAAAGTTGAAGTCAGAATTATTAGCCCCCCTTTGAATTTTTTGTCATTTTTAAATATTTCCAAAATTATTTTTAACAGTGCAAGGAAATTATCACAGTATGTCTGAAAATATTTTTCTTCTAGAGCAAGTCTTATTTGTTTTATTTCGCGTAGAATAAAAGCAAAAACATTTTAGGGACAAAATTATTAGCCCCTTTAAGCAATTTTTTTTCAGTCTACAGAACAAACCATCTTTATACAATAACTTGCCTAATTGCCCTAACCTGCCTAGTTAACCTAATTTATCTAGTTAAGCTTTTAAATGTGATTTTAAGCTGTATAGAAGTGTCTTGAAAAATATCTAGTCAAACATTATTTACTGTCACCATGGCACAGATGAAATAAATCAGTTATTAGAAATTAGTTATTGAAACTATTATGTTTAGAAATGTTCTAAAAGAATCTTCTCTCTCTTAAACAGAATTTGGGGAAAAAATTAAACAGGGGGTAATAATTCAGGGGAGGGGGTAATAATTCTGACTACAACTGTATTGTTTTTTTAAAAAGTAACACATAGGTCTGCAATAATTGAATAAATTGATAAAACTGTTTATATACAATTGCAATTATTTTAGTATCTTTCATATAATAAACATTTAATACACATTCATATAACAACATAATAATAACATTTATATTTGATCTTTACCAGTGGTCACCAAACTTGTTCCTGGAGGGCCGGTGTGCTGCAGATTTTAGCTCTAACCCTAATCTAACACACCTGAACAAGCTAATCAAGGTCTTACTAGTTATACTTGAAACATCCAGGCAGGTGTGTTGAGGCAAGTTGGAGCTAAAGTCTGCAGGGACACCGGCCCTCCAGGACCGAGATTGGTGACCCCTGATCTATACTAATATTATTTAATATAACATATCTATATGTATCGACCTTCCCTTCTGTTTTACTCTTCAATGCAAAAGACACAATTTAGAAGATCTTGCCATGTTCTTTTATATGTATTTTTTGCCCTGTAGAGAAGTACATTCGTTACGGTGAACAAACGCATGCTGTCTTACGGAAGCTGTCGAAAAATGGAAAGAAGATGTTTCTGATCACCAACAGCCCTTTTGATTTTGTGTGAGTGATACCGAAATACTAAACTGAAAAGAAGCCTGAATACAAAGACTGTGTACAAAAGCCATTGTGCCTAACTGCTTGTAACAAAATACTGTTTACGAATAAAATCTGTTTTCATTTCCTCTTCATAGAGACCGAGGCATGAACTATATTGTTGGGAAAGACTGGCGGGACCTGTTCGACGTTGTCATAGTGCAGGCCGACAAGCCAAGCTTTTTCAATGACAGGAGGAAGTGAGTTTTAAAAGCTCCAAGTCTGGCAACAGCGAATCACTGCTATATCAATGTCATTCCCACATTATCACAGCCTCGCTTACAGATTCCTTTATTTAGATCATGACAAATGATTTCTGGGAAGGTGTTTAGACATGCCAACTTTTCTTGAATGTAAAAATAGTCTCTTTGTGTGTTTTTGGCTGATTTCTAAAGGCCATTCAGACGAGTTACAGATAAAGGCGTGCTGTTATGGGACAGAATTCATCACCTTGAGAAAGGGCAGATCTATAAACAGGTAATCCTTCATGCCTCAGTGTATAGCCGTGAGCTGTTTCTGTTCAATAAAGATGCTGAAATCTCTTTTTTATGTCTCCAGGGAAACCTGTATGAGTTTTTGCGGCTTACAGGCTGGAGGGGCTCAAAGGTTTTGTACTTTGGAGATCACATATACAGTGACCTTGCTGTAAGAATCCTATTCTGTGGTGTTTTCTACATATGCACAAACATATTACCTTATAATTTTGTTCTAACAGCTATTCTGCCTATTGCCTACATAGGCAATTGCCGTCTAAAACAGTGGTTCGCAAAGTGGGGGTCAGGACCCCTCGAAGGGTCGGGGAAAGGGGGGGGGGGGGGATAGGGGGGTTGCCTGGTGATTTCCAAAAATCTATTTATTTTTAATTAACCATATTTTTTATAAACCTATTTATTTTTAATAAACCATATTTATATAAATAACCATAAAAAACTGTTGTTTATCATTAGAGTAGAGATATTATATGATAGACTTGCTTAGTTTACCAAATAATGTAAATCTAATTGGATTTGCATTTTAAACATTAAATAAAAGTTTAAAAGGTACTATATTAAGGTTTTAGTTATGATACTCCCAAAATAATTTCGCAGATTTTTACCAAAATTCTCAGCAGAAATAACAAAAAACATCCGCAGATTCCATCTGGCCCTAATTATAAGCAACACAATATTGTTATTTTAGAGTCCGCATCAAATTCAATTTACAAATAGGGTTTTATAAATCTATTAAATAGACATAAAAGCAATAGTTCACCCAAGAATGAAAACTTTCATCATTTACTCACTCGTTTGTTTTTTTTTTTTTTTTTTTTTTTGACATTAAAAAAATAGATTTTGAAGAACATTGGAACGCAGCAGGCATTGACTTCCATAATATGTTCTTGCTATGGATGCCAATAGCTATGTTTCCATCCAAAGATTCCAATTAAATCTATTCGTAGGACTGGAATTTTGCATAAAAGTCGCATGAATAAAGTAACGTTTCCATCCATTGAGTCAAAGAGACCAAAATCATCCCTTACTGATAAACTGGTGGCAAATATTAAAAGTAGAAATGGAATTGGCTGCGGTAGGAGAAGCTGCCTGCATCGTTTCTTTATTAATAAATTACTTGCGCCTCAGAAGACAATGCAGACATGCAATAAACATGTGGTGGGGTTTGAAGGCAAAAATTTATGTACATCTTGTCATTTCCATTAACAATTTTTTTATGCTCATATCCAAAATGTGCATAAAAAATTGCTGTATGGAAACATAGCTAATGGCTGCTGATTTCCAACATACTTTAGAATATTTTTTTAGTATTCAACAGGAGACAGAAATGAAAGTTTAAAAACACTCAAGTATGACTAAATGAGGAAATCTTCATTTTTGGGGGAACTACCTGTCTTCAATGTCATGATGTGTCTGTGTAGGATCTGACCCTGAAACATGGTTGGAGAACAGGAGCGATTATTCCTGAGCTGCGTGAGGAGATCAAGATCATGAATACGGAGGAGTATGTCCACACCATGACCTGGCTGCAGGCGCTGACCGGCCTGCTGGAGCAGATGCAGGTCAGACCACCAGGGGAAGCTTAAACTATAATGCAAACGTATATTATATTTTAAGGCCAATGACAAACTGCTGGCAGGGGACTACAATGAGCTTCTTCTTGTGTTTATTGTAACGTCATAAACATTACAAATTTACATAAACCCCACCCCTGGATGTCCTTGGTTAGAGCTGGGCCAGTTGACCAATCAGAACCTAGTTTGTATTTTTGAGGGAGGGGCTTCATAGAACAACGAAGTCAACAAAACGGTTTGAGCAGATCAGAAACAGAATGTGATCTTTTTTTTTTTTTTAACTGATACAGGTTGATGGCTGATGATAAACACAACCAGTTCAAATATATAAAAGTTAAATTTAGTGATTGCACGTGAATATTTAAAAATTAGGTGATTACTTTGTATATAAACAAAACAAGGGAATGTGAAACCACATAAATAATAAAAACATGAAATTAACCCCTAAAATAAACGAGACACTTTCATTCATTCATTCATTCATTCATTTTCTTGTCGGCTTAGTCCCTTTATTAATCCGGGGTTGTCACAGCAGAATGAACCGCCAACTTATCAAGCACGTTATTACACAGCGGATGCCCTTCCAGCCGCAACCCATCTATGGGAAACATCCACACACACACACACACACACACACACACACACACACACGCCCTTCCAGCTGCAACCCTCACATACACTCGTACACTACGGACAATTTAGCCTACTCAATTCACCTGTGCCGCATGTCTTTGGACTGCGTGGGAAACCAGAGTACCCGGGGAAACCCACTCGAACGCAGGGAGAACATGCAAACTCCACACAGAAACGCTAACTTAGCGTAGGCTCGAACCAGCGACCTTCTTGCTGTGAGGCGCCACTGCGTCGCCATGAGACACTTTTCAAATTAGATGTCACTAGATGTGTAATTGGACGTTCTAGGACTCATTTGCTTATGTGGCAATAAATAAATAAATAAATAAATAAAATGAATGGATTTGTTGATGGAAAATACTACAATAAATGATGAAAACCAGCCAGTAAATTTAAACACGTCTCTTATTTTCCACTGGTAAAATATAAGGTACTGATATGTTTTTGTTGTTGGATTTGGAGGATCTCCCCCAATTTAACTAATGGATTGCATCATGTTTCATTCCCTTATGTAATTTCTATTGGGTTAATTAAAAAAGCTGTATTTGTGCAGGTGCATCGAGACTCAGCGTCACAAACGGTGCTTCAGCAGTGGATTGAAGAAAGAGAGGATATGAGGTAATTATATTAATTCTAAAGTACTTGCACATCTGCAACTTTATTTTTTGCAGATTTTGTGATTGTACAGACTTAAAGTAAAAATTAGGAGGTGAAATTGTGCAGATTTCAAATAACTGAAATATAAACTCGCTGTTCTGAGTTTGTGTCTCATAATTGCAAAATCCAAAGCCACAATTTTGAGGAAAAAATTTTGCAATATTAGCTCACAATTGCAAGAAAGATATTTTATAATATTATAAAAATTATATTATAACGATTTAAATCTTTTTATTTTTATTTTGTGACCAGGAACAAATTTAAACACACCATAAATTAAATTAATTAAATAAGCAATAATGAACAATAATAAATCTGATTAAATTGAATGATTCCAAATATTTAGATTAAATGGATTAAAGTCAATTGATTAAATAATAACTGATACATACAGACGTGCTCTCACCATAAAGCATATTTTATTAGAATGAGAAGTTTAGGACTATTTGACAAGATTTTTATAATGAAAACACTTTGTTGGATGTATTAAAAAGGTATCACCAGGAAGAAATTTAAGCCCTTTATCAAATATTAAATTAAAAAAATCAAATGCAACCTTTAAAATACATTTGTCAATTTTATTTGTTTATTTCTATTTATATATCGGAGTTTGTGTATCATCTCTTAATGAAATACGAAGTTGTTCTTATTATGTAATGTTTTTTCTATACATTGATATATATATATATATATAAGTTGCTGGTGCTGCAATAATAAAATGCATACTGAAGTATAGTTCTATGATTAATATATATATAAAATGCTAATTAAAAGAAATAAATAGTTAGCAATTATTACTTTTTCAATATTTATTCTATTCAATTTTAAAGCATAAATTAGTGTTTATGAATATTAGATAAACAAATAAAAATTAAATGCTCATTAAATGCTAAATAAATGTTATTTTTTAAAACAGGATCAATTGATTAGCATTTGAATATTTTATATTTAGTATTACTAAATACATAATATTTCAAACTAAACATTAAAACAACCAAAATGGTTTCTTTTTAACAGGTTAAGGACCAAAGACATCTTCAACGCCCAGTTTGGGAGTCTTTTCCGCACGTACCACAACCCGACCTATTTCTCCCGCCGTCTTTCCCGCTTCGCAGACATCTACATGGCGTCTCTGAGCTGTTTGCTGAACTACGACTTCCAGCACACCTTCTACCCCAGACGAACCCCCCTGCAGCACGAGTCCCCCATCTGGCCCGAGCAGACCAGCACCACAGGCTCCAAAATCCCCCTCCACAGCCACAGGACATCCAGTGTCTGAGCAGGCAGCATTTAGAAAGTATGTACCTCAAAACAGCTGCTGTTACAGGTTACAATACAAAAATTTTTTGCTCATATTTACAACGGTAATGTAGACTCTTAATAAACTCTCTGGGTTTCTGTCCCTACATTCAAAATCTGTTCACCAGAAACTGCAGAATTGCATTTTAATATTATTTTATAGTCCAAAAAATCTGGGCTGTTTCTCAATTCCAAGAACGCAGAGTCCGGACTTGCGTTCTTTTGGAGATCGGTCTTGCCAGGTGTCCTTGAAAGAATGAACTCGGGAGACCGCGATGGCAGAGAATGCATCCTGTGAAAAATGAGATGCTGCGTTCCTCCTGATGGTCAAGTGATCTTCACGCGTTTTAAAAGGAAAATTATTATAAACATTACAGCATTCATACAACGATTAATTTTTAATTGCCCTTTTCAAAATATATACTCTGCAGAAAAACATTATAAATATACGTTGCACAATATAAATAAAACAGATTTTAATACGTATTTCAGCAAACAAACACTCCTAATGTGTTTGTTACTTTATTAAGATTTCGTGGTAATGTTTACTTTTACCACTTCATTTAGGGAAACTCCTGAGATAAATAAGTTACATCTCTGAACTTTAATAATAAATCTAAATTAAATGCTGCGCTTCCCACCTCCAGTCGCAATGACTTCTGGGACTTCTAGAGCGAGATCGGTGCTCAAGTCTGCATCGTTGCGTCCTCGATATTAAGAACACATCCGGGAAGTTTCACGCGTCCTCAGTTCTTGTGGTCTTAAGTATTGGAACTGAACTTGCATGAAAAATATTCTCCTGGATGAACAGGATTTATTACATACGGGTTTAAGTAAAATTTTTATTTATTCATTTATTAAGCAAAGGTGCGATAACAACATAATCAGAAACCGACAAGTGATCAAAATTACAAAGGTTATCACATCTGCTTGTGACTGAAAATCTGTTTTTTCTTTTCATTAATGTTGGTTTCTTAACTGGTCTGATGTTAAAACATTTGTATTGTTTGTCTAAATAGGAATATAAACATCTGAAAAAGAGAAACCTTTTTGTTATACAAAAAGGCTCTATTCCAAGTTTAAAATAAAACTGTAATTTAAAGTTTAAAGAACAAAATGATAACTGAATCATGAATCTAGAGAAACTGACAATTGTTGATCCATAGTGCTCAAGTATGTTAACTTTATATAAACCTTTGCTTTATTTTGTTAAGTGATTTTTTTCCTTTGCACTTGTAAATGCTTTGCACTTAGTTGTTTCACACTACTCTACAGGCTGCGTGAAAAGTAATTAGGCGATATTTAATGTCTATATAGAACTTGTATAACAATGGAGTAAAGCAGCCAAGAGAGTTAAACACGCTGCAGGTTAAGAAAATGCATGCAAATAGAGAAACACTTCAATTGAAAAAAACATCTACAATATTCATTCATTCATTTTCCTTCAGCTTAGTCCCTTATTTATCAGGGATTGCCACAGCAGAGTGAACCGCCAACTATTCCAGAATATGTTTAAGCAGCGGATGACCTTCCAGCCACAACTCAGTACTGGAAAACACCCATACACACACTAGTATACTACAACAATTAGTTCATCTGTAGCGACTATGGGGGAACCGGAGTACCCTGACGAACACCGGGAGAACATGCAAACTCCACAAAGAAATTCCAACTGGCCCAGTCGGTTCTGTGTTTGAAGGGATAGTTCACCCAAAAATGAAATTTACTCATCCTTCATTTGTTTCCAACCTTTCTGCGTTTCTTTCTTCTGTTAAACAAAAGAAGATTTTTCGAATAAGGTGAAAACCTGTAACATTAACATTAACTTGTGTTTAACAGCTGTGTTCAATGCTCAAATGGGTAGAACCACTTGAGGATGAGGAAATAGTAAGTAAATTTACATTTTACAACAATCCCTTTAACGTTAATTGCAATTAATCAGGTCATCAGGGGTAAAAATATACAAAGAAGGAACTGTACCACCAGACTGTTACAATCAACAAAAAACCTCATCTGTTAGATCTCCGAACACACCAGGAACAACAGGAAGCAGCCGAGTTCATCATGTTTATTTGTTAGTGTTTTTCTATTTGCATGTGTTTTTTAAAACTTGCAGCACATTTTAGCTCTCTCTGCCACCATATTGTGAGTCATGGAGTCTCTAAATAGACAATAGTAAATATGATTTTAAATTTCCTGTATTGATAGTACAAGCATCGGCCACGAAAGTCAATATTAGAAATACATATGTTATTACCAGCTTTTAATTCCTACTTGCTTTTCACTCACCCTGTAGTGGATTTGCAAGTTGGCAAGTATAACATCTGATCAGTATTTAACCTCTTGGACAGTAACTAGGCCAAGAAAGTTGGCAGTCAAACCCACTTTATTTGTTTTATAATCAAAGTTTATATGCCAATAAAAGTGGAAATTGTATCCAATATAATGAGAGGGGTCTGGATGCAGACCTGGTGCAGTGAAATCTGAGCTGCATCAAATGCTTTTTAATGCGCTTACCTAACCCTACCCGTCACAGTGACGTCACTCACTCCATTGAGAGCATTGTGTCTGACGTTGCATCGCTGAGTGATGCAATCTCAGCTTGCATTATAAAGGCTGCATCCAGATACTATTTAATATAATGCAGTCAGTAGAGCTGGGGTGAAAAATCATTCAAGAAATTTCTCTCTTGAGTCGATTCTGAGCTTTTAACAGTAGATGGCGCTCTTGGCTAGTTTTAACTGTAAATACTGCTCGTGTGCATTTGGCTGAATCTTGTAAGATGGCTTTTATGTTGCGAAATTAATGTACAGCTCACTACGAACACTCATGTAATTTGCTTAAACTTCCTAACTTTAGCAATATTTATTTTAGGTTCAAGTGGTATTTGTAAAAAAGTGGTTGTTAGCAGAGTACAGCTGTTTATAAAGTGTACAGCGCCATCTGCTGTTAGAAATTGAGAATCAATTCAAGAGAGAATAGGGATGTATTTTAAAGGGGTGGTCCACTATGATATTATATTTTAAACTGAATGTAAAAAGCTCCAAGTTCAATGCAAAGGGAGACCTTGGTTTTTACTGTTAACTTAGCAAAGCCTACACTGAACAAATTTTGGAAACTACAAAAAATACTTCCGGTCCTTGTGAGATCACAAAGGTTCTTTTACCGTGCACACACTCTGCGCAGCTAAGGGACGTGGCCAGAGGCGCTGTAACGTTATAGCAGAGAGAGCTAGAATGCATCCTCCAAACGCTGCTGTTACCACAGAGCTTCATCTGTATCTGTATTTGGGCTTCCAAATACAGATACAGACAAAGACAAAAGTGCTTACAGTTTAATATTAATTATGTTCCAGAGAATTATAAAATACATAGCAAGCATGATTTAACAAAACAGCTCAAGAATCTCTCCCAGTTCAGTGCTGGATTCGGTTAAAATCACCTCAAAGCAGAAGCTGTTAACTACAACCTGTAAGTGTTTTTATTTGTTAAAACTGATCATGACATGTACAGTGTCTAGCGTTAACGGTAAGCTGTAGCAACGATTTAAACAACGGGAAATGCTGTTTTGCACTGCAAACGATTTAGCTATAAATTAATATTTGTAATCATCAGTCAAACTGCTGTAAACACACACGCATACACACATTTCACCAGCACGTTCGTGTCTCTCTGTGTGTGCGCGATTCTCTATGGCAGTGGTGGGCAAACTTTTTTTAGACTCGAGGGCCAAATTAAGTTTTGCAAACCAAGTGAAGGGCCACATATCAAATCCTTCAAAAAATAACTTTTATTTATAGTGGCAGAAACATGTCGCATTAACAGAAAACATATTTTTTTATATATATTATTAAGTCAAATTTTCAAGTCAAATTATTTTGCACTGCTGTTTATATTTACTTATAAATCATCATAAAAATAATAATAATAAATAAATAAATAATAATAATAATAATAATAATAATAATAATAATAATATTAATGATAATAATAATAATAATAATAATAATAATAGTAATAATAGTAATAATAATAACAATAATGTAATATTTTTACAATGGAGAATATAAGATTTTATATAATTATTTATAAATAAAATTAAAAATTAATATCAACACATTAAAAATAATTCTTGAAGTTTATAATTCATTCAAATTTACACTAATCTAATTTGCACTGCTTTTAGAATATACAGATCAATCATCATAAAACTTGATGAAACCACAAATCTTCGTGAAATCGTGAATGTGTGCATGAAAAATATATTCTATGACAAAAATTAACACATTTAACCAGCAATTGTTATATAAATTGAGTCAAGTACACAACAATCTCATTTGAGCTTGTATTAATATGCTCATATCAATCATTACAAAACAAAAAGATAAAATGCAAGTAGAATCTCAGTCTTTGTCATTTTAAGTCATGTAATTATGAGTGTGTTAATGTGAACAATGAGCCTGGTCCCCTCTTTTCGCAAGGGTGTCAAAATCTCGAGTCTGCTACTCAAAAATGCGAGACAGCCGTACTCTGCTAGCAACCACTTTTTTACAAATACCACTTGAACCTAAAATAAAGAAAAAAAGAAAAAGAAAGACCCGCACACATGCGCTTGTGATAGAAAGTTAACACATTTACACACACACACAAAGGGAAACTCTCTTAAAGGAGCCGTACCCCATTTTCACTCGTTACAGACACTTCTCAGATTTTATTTTAGTGAGCAGGCAGGAGGTTGACTGACTGTTTACACAGCAGAAAAGCATGTGCTTGTACGGGCGTGACGTGGTGTCGATCCGCGAATTGCAGTACATTATGATGATGACCAATCAGAGTCACTTGAGGGCGGTCTTTTCAGAGGAACTAGGAAATTTGACAGTCGTTTTCATGTTAGCTGAGTAGCTGTGTATAATCAAAGTGAGATTTATGAAAAAATAACGCAATTTCTTTTAAGTGAGACATGAGCACACATTGATTTGCATCTTATTAACACAACCAAGCCTTAAAATTACATTCTGGACCACCCCTTTAAAGATCTCAGAGTTGATTTCTCGAATGATTTTTCACCACAGCTCTACGTTTCTGTGAGCAGACTTTTGAATGGAGAAGAAATCTCTCAGATTTTATT